CCACTGCTCAAAAAAAACAAGAGAGGACACAAACTAATGGAAAAACATTCCATGCTCATGGATAGGAAGAATCAATATCATGAAAATGGCCATACTGCCCAAAGTAATTTATAGTCAATGCTCTCCCCATCAAGCTCCATTGACTTTCTTCACAGAATTTTAAAAAACTACTTTAAATTTCATATGAAACCAAAAAGAGCCCACATAACCAAGGTAATACTAAGCAAAAGAAATCAAAGCTGGAGGCATCACACTACCTGACTTCAAACTATACTACAAGGCTACAGTAACAAAAACAGCATGGTATTAGTACCAAAATAGATACATAGACCGATGGAACAAAGGATTCAGAAATAACGCCACACATCTACAACCATCTGATTTTTGACAAACCTGACCAAAACAAGCAATGGGGAAAGAATTTCCTATTTAATAAATGGTGTTGGGGAAATTGGCTAGTCGTATGCAGAAAACTGAAATTGGACCCCTTCCTTACATCTTATACAAAAATTAACTCAAGAGGGATTAAAGACTTAAATGTAAGACCTAAAACCATAAAAACCCTAGAAGAAAATCTAGGCAATACCATTCAGTATTTAGGCATGGGCAAGGACTTCATGAGTAAAACACCAAAAGCAATGGCAACAAAAGCCAAAATTGACAACTGAGATCCAATTAAACTAAAGAGCTTCTGAACAGCAAATGAAATTATCATCAGAGTGAACAGGCAACCTACAGAACGGGAAAAAATTTTGCAATCTATCCATATGACAAAGGGCTAATATCTAGAATCTACAAAGAACTTAAACAAATTTACAAGAAAAAAACAACCCCATCAAAAAGTGGGCAAAGGATATGAACAGACACTTCTCAAAAGAAGACATTTATGCAGCCAACAAACATAGGAAGAAAGCTCATCATCACTGGTCATAGAGAAATGCAAATTAAAACCACAATGAGATACCATCTCACTCCAGTTAGAATGGCAATCATTAAAAAGTCAGGAAACAACAGATGCTGGAGAGGATGTGGAGAAACAGGAACACTTTTAAACTGTTGGTGGGAGTGTAAATTGGTTCAACCATTGTGGAAGACAGTGTGGCAGATCTAGAAATAGAAATCCCATTTGACCCAGCAATCCCATTACTGGTTATATATCCAAAAGATTATAAATCATTCTACTATAAAGACACATGCATACATTTGTTTATTGCTGCACTGTTCACAAAAGCAAAGACTTGGAACCAACCCAAATGCCCATCAATGATAGACTGTGTAAAGAAAATCTGGCACATATACACCATGGAATACTATGCAGCCATTAAAAAGGATGAGTTCATGTCCTTTGCAGGGACATAGATGAAGCTGGAAACCATCATTCTCAGCAAACTGACACAGGAACAGCAAACCAAACACCATGTGTTCTCACATAATTGGGAGTTGAACAATGAGAACACATAGACACAGGGAAGGGAGCATCACACACTGGGGCCTGTCAAGGGGTGGGGATAGCATTAGGAGAAATACGTAAAGTAGATGATGGGTTGATAGGTGCAGCAAACCACCATGGCATGTGTATACCTATGTAACAAACTTGCATATTCTGCATGTGTACCCCAGAACTTAAAGTATAAATATACATATATATATGGAAGATAGTGGGAGAAGGGTCAAACAATTTGGGCTCATATATATATATATATATGAAGTATACTTCATATGTAGCTTTAAAGTATATATACTTCATATAATATATATAACCCCATACTTTAAGGCTATATATGAAGTATGTATGAAGTATACTTCATATGTATGTATATGACCCCAAATTTTTTGATCCTTCTTCCATTGAGAATGAGGTATATGTCTTCTCTCCTTGAATATGGATGGATTTTTGACTGCTTTCTCCCAAAAAGTATAGTGGAATTGATGCCATCTTAGTTCTTAGGCTATGTCACAAAAGGTAATACAATTTCCACTTTGCTACATGGTACATTCATTTTGAATCCCAGGAGCCACCCTGGAAGAAGTCCATCTATCTTGCGCTACCATGCTGTAAGAAGGGCCAGGCCATATGGAGAGGTCACATGTTGAGATTCTTCTTGATACTCCTGCCTACTTGCCAGCCAACATCAGTGTCAACTGAATTTCAAGAGATTGACAGATTATGCATGAATTCTGGGACTTAAAAACATCAATATAAATAAGTGTGTGGGAATAATGTTTCTGAATTTGTCTATTAAACATTTATTTTCCAGTTTTCCTCCAAATCTAAGATAACTCTTACAATCAATGAAATTATAAGTGTCTGAAGTGATGTATGCAACTGAGTTTTTTTGTGTGTGTGTTACTCGAATGGAGTCTACATTTGTATCAAAACAGAAAAAGCACTTTTACTTTGAAATGCTAGGAAAAGTTCTATACCATGAAACTGTCTAACCTCAAAGAAACCATCACTAGTACTTTGAAATATCAGAGAAATGAATGGAATTTAATAATTTGAATGTCGGTCTAGAAGGCTGAATGGTGGGTTCCAAAAAGGTATATCCATGTCCTGATCCCCAGAACCCAGGAAGGAACGTTACTGAGAAGGAAAGAGGATCTTCCTAGATGCAATTAAATTGAAGATCTCAAGATGAGATTATCCCGGATTATTCAAGTGGGACCTAAATTCAGTGACAGGTATCCTCATAAGAGAGACATGAGGGAGACTTAACAGGCAAAAGAGAAAGCAACATAACCATGGAGGTAGAGATTGGAGTGAGGCTGCCACATGTCAAAAATTGTTGAAGGCTGCCAGAAACTGAAAAAGGAAAAGGACAGATTCTTCTCAAGAGCCCCGGACGGAGTGTGGCCCTGGGAACACCTTAACTTTCCAGAACTTGAGAAACTAAATCTCTGTCCTCATAAACCAGTTGTGGTCATTTGTTTCAACAGCCACAGAAAATGAATACCACTGGGAAAAATATTTCCTTATCTAAACTTCCTGCTTCCACATATGTGCAATATTTAATAAGTTGCAATTTTTTATTCTTTAAACTTTTAATTAGGTTTCTACCTACAAAAGAGATTTGAGTTCAAAATGTTATTCCTATAAAAATGTCAGATTTTTATTCCTATTGCTTTTGTTTAATGTTTTGCACACTTTTCTCCTTTTGATGTATGACCTAGCAGTGGCTTTTCTTTTTTTTTAGGCTGTATTTACCAGCAATCTAGAGTTTGAAGTGAAGGACTTGGTTGAGCATTCTGAATTCTGCTGAGAGTTCATTTAAAATATATATATTTAATGCTGGGAGTGGTGTCTCACAGCTATAATCCCAGCACTTTGGGAGTTTGAGGCAGACGGATCACCTGAGGCCAGGAGTTCGAGACCAGCCTGCCCAACATGGTGAAACCCTGTCTCTACTAAAACTACAAAAATTAGCTGGGCGTGGTGGCGCATCCCTGTAGTCCCAGCTACTTGGGAGGCTGAGGCAGAGAATCGCTTGCACCCAGGAGGTGGAGGTTGCAGTGAGCCAAGATTGTGCCACTGCACTCCAGCCTGGGTGACAGAGCGAGACTTCATCTCCAAAAATAAAATAAAATAATTTTGAGGGTAAGTGATGAAGAGTGGAGCCTTGATACAGAAAGGAGGACACTGATACCTTTGCTGTAAAGTATATGGGGTGTACGGAAATGTCTGTACATTTAAGAATGTCTGGTGCTTTAAGAAGGCTGTCTTAAATATCAGTTGAGGAATATCCTACCTGACCACTACTACTCAAAAATGTCCGGGTATCAAAAATGAGAAAAGTATGAGAAACTGTCATAGCCAAGAGAAGCCTGTAGAGACATGGGAACTGAAGGTAATATAGGATCCTGAACAGAAAAAACGACACTAGGAAAAAAACAAGGAAATCTGAATAAAGTAATGACTTTAGCTCAGAAGAATCTCCCAATATTAGTTCATTAATTTCAACAAATATTCTATATTAACACAAAATGTTAATGGTGGGTGGAACTGGGTGCTGTATATATGGGAATTCTTGGTCATATCTTAATTTTTCTGTAAATTGAAAACTTCTAAACAAGAAAGTCTATTTTGTAAAAAGTCTATTTCTACCAACATTCATATTTTAAAAGAGAAACTGTAAGATTAAAGAAGTGAAACATTTAATGCAAATCAGAGGTGTTGAGGAAATTTTCTAGGCTGTCTCCCAGACTGCTAGTCCATACTGCAAATAACTACTTTTTTTATATAAAGCTTTTTCCCTCCTAATTATTTGCAACGTGGTGAAAAGTGAACACCAAAAACATTTCCGGATTTGCCACACACACACACACACACACACACACACACACACACAAAGTTAAAAAAAAAATTTCTGGTTTGGCTTTCAGTCTCGTCTCCAGGCTAACCGGCGTGCCATCTGCTCGCAGCAGAGCGGTAACCATGGTTCACGTGTCACATCAGCATGCGGTGTTGGAAAGTTTGCCCCGGCAAGCCCGGACAACTCCGCTTCCGCGCAGGTTGCTTGGGCGGGTGGGGATGGCGGCAGCAGCATCAGAGGTTGTAGATTGTTTTTCCAAACCCCATCTGCTTTCCTCTCCCCAGGCTGTGTCCGCGGTCCCCCGGCGCGGCAAGCCGCGGGGACGTGTGCGGGTCTTGTATGCATAACAAAAGGGTCTCCTCCTCCTCCCCTTCCTTCACCCGCCGCCCCGCGCCGTCCCGCGCCGCCCCCGCCTTGGCTTCCCGCGGCCGCACCGGCCCGCGTCCCCAGCAGGAATTGGCTCCCGGGCCCGAGGTTTCCAGGTGCCGGGAAGGGGGAGGGGGCCGAGGCGGCAACAATTGGGCGGGTGAGGGCAAAAAGCGCGGCTCGGGGCGCCAAGAGTCTGAGGGGCGGCGAGCCCGGGCCGTGCCGCCGCACGATTGGCCGGGGCTGCCCGGCCGGCCGCCGCTGATTGGTGGATTCTCAAATTCGGTCTCAAGGCGCCAGAGGAGGTGTTTTAGCGGGGACTGGGATCCAGGCTGGAGTCGCGAACGGCGGGTCTGAGCGCTGGCGCTGCCCGGACGCCGCGGGGTCCCAGCCAGCCCAGGGCACTCGGCGCGGGGATCTGCCCCTCTCGCTCTCCCTTCCCGATGCCGCCGCCCGGCTGCTGATTGCCGCACCACCTGCCCTCGTCGGCGTGGGGCCGTGAAGGTCCCTGCAGAGGCAGGAAGCCTCCCTTGGAAAGCAGGGGTAAGCGTGCGGCGCCAGCCCTGGTAGGGAGGCGGGAATGGGGATACGGGGACCCCTCCCGCCCCGGCTGCCAGCCTGCCACCCCTCCCGTCCCCCGGCTGTGGGAGGTTCGAGGTGTTTCTGCCTGGGATCCTGGGGACCCGGTGCGCAGAGGCTGTGCCCGCTGCAGCTCTCCCTCTGGCCGGGCAGTAGAGGGGATTTGCCCTTCCCCACGATTTGGGCTTTCATTGGAGGAGTTTATTTGGGGGGTCTGCATGGAGGCCTCGGGAGGGACTGCGCTCAGCGCTGAGTGGGTTTGGTCTAGCTATCGGGTTTCCTTCCCTGATTCAAACACCCTGAAAGCCGAATTCCTCTCAGTTCTTTGCGCCAAAATTAACTGACCTGGGAGACCCTGCACTTTCTGACAGATTTGCCCCCCACCCCCCCGACTTGGTAACTTTATTTTGCTATCTAGCTTTTCATAAATAATTACTATTTTTGTAGACTTTTTTTTCCCCTTACCAGCTTTTCAGTATTACTAAGCACACTTTAGGTGTTTGAGTTTGTTCGTGTGAGTTTTAGAAAGTTGAGGGTGGCTATACTCCTGGAAATGCCCAGGATGTGTTTAGAGAATTGAGAATTTCATATTGACAAATAAGTAACAAATAGGTACATATTTTTGTGGGAGGAAAAAAATATGTAGATATTTTTGTAAGAGGAAAAACTATCTAATTGTAAAATCATTTTCTAATGTAATTACAGATGGAGGTAAATTGTTTAACACTAAAAGACCTGATCAGCCCCAGGCAGCCCAGACTAGATTTTGCAATTGAAGATGGGGAAAATGCACAAAAGGTAAGCAAGCATAAATACCTTACTTTCTAACACATTAAGGATGCTGATGTTGAATTCAATTAAGCGTTCCAACATGCCATTTGTATTTGTATTTTAATATTGATGAACATTATAGAAACATTGTTTTTTAAAAATAGAGCCATCGGGCCAAAGTTAATCCCAGCACTTTGGGAGGCCGAGGTGAGCGGATGGCAAGGTCAGGAGTTGGAGATCATCCTAACCAATGTGGTGAAACCCCATCTCTACTAAAAAAAAAAAAAAATACAGAAATTAGCTGCGAATGGTGGTGGACGCCTGTAGTCTCAGCTACTCAGGAGGCTGAGGCAGAAGATTTGCTTGAGCCCAGGAGGCAGAGGTTGCAGTGAGCCAAGATCCCGCCACTGCACTCCAGCATGGCAGACAGAGCAAGATGCCGTCTCAAAAAAAAAAAAAAAAGAAAGAAAGAAAAGAAAAAATAGAACCATCCAAACCGTTACTGCTGCAATTCTACTCTCAGATATAGTGGGAAAAATAGGCAAGGTTAAATGTAATGTTGTAACCCATTTATATAAGTCAAAAACACACTGGCTACAGCAATCAAGGTTTGTAATACAGTTGTCAAGGGTCGTGTAGCTAATGCTCTGTAGGAATGCTAAGTCTCTGTTCCCAGGAAGATAGACCACTGTAGTTAAAAATGCTGGATTATTAAAGTGCTGTGAAATGCTTTCATACCAATAAACTAGCTCCTAGAGGCCGTTGGATTCACCCAAGAGTAGACCCGTACCTTCCTTCAGGGAGATAAAGAGGCTCAACACATCAATATATTCTGAATATATTACCATACTATTGCTAGTTTTGCACTGAGCCATTCCCTTCCATTTTGCACCCCTTGTGATTTGTAAGACCAAGGTGTTGTTTGCAAGAAACGTTATAAAGTAAACTGGCCATAACAATGTCTAAGCTATCTGAGCATTTTTAGGCAGAGGCAAACAGAAATAACAAACCAAATTTTAGAAACTTTGAATATAAATCTATGAGTGGCAACTTGGGCATTGAACTCTCTGAGTTCCTGGTCTGATTATTAGGCTTAGCATCAACAATCAAACGCCTCGGTTGCAAAGCACCTGTCATATGAACCTTTGAAGAATACTTGATTATTGTTAATTTGGGATAGACGTGAAATTGTATGCTTTCCCCATGTAGGGATACTTTGGTCCAGCATTTTGATTTATTTTTATTAAGCAAAGAAATACATAGTCCCCCTTATCCACAGGAAATGTGTTCTGAGACCTGCAGCGAGTACCTGAAACTGTGGATAATAGTAAACTGGATTGCCATTAGCTGGAACACATTTTTGTTTACTCTGCTTATGTTTCCACCCCCAAATTTAGTGCCTTTTCCATCTTAACTAAGCACTTATGTACCGTGGCTATAACTTTTGCAGTTTGGGGTATGACAGAAAAACTAGCATGAATTTCTTTTTCATTCTTCACAATTTCACAGATAGGAGATTCATTCTTATAGTAGATCTTAGCAACCTTGGAGTACGGTTTTTTTCTTTCCTTAAAAGAACGTTCACTTTTTCTGTTAAAAGAAGCACTTTATGACTTTGCTTTGGCATATCCAAATGCCAGCATCGCTACTCTTGTGCTTTGGAGCCATTATGAAGTCAAATAAGAGTTACTCAAACATGAGCACTGCGATGCCATGAAGGTCAGTCAATAACACAGTGGCTGCTAAGTGACTAACGAAGGAGCAGGTAGTATCTACAGAGCAAATACGCTGGACAAAGGGGTGAGTCATATCCCAAGCAGGACGGAGCAGGATGACATGAGAGTTCATCACACAAGACGGCATACAATTTAAAACTCATGAATTGTTTATTTCTGGAATTTTCCTTTTGATATTTTTAGACCACTATTGGCTACTGGAAGTGAAACCACAGATAAAGTGAAGAAAAAAAAAACTGGGCTTTTTAAAAAATTATCTAGGCCATGAGTGGAAATGCCCAGACTTAAAGTATATATTCAGAGTTTGGGCGTTGAGAGTTTTAGAACAAGTCTTTGTTTTCCTTTCTAATTTGGATGGTTCAGCCTTGAAAGAATATGTATCCATACATTTATATAAAGTCTAAGTCAGTGCTCTGCTTCTCTTCCTCCTGGGTCAATGATTTTTATCAAGTACCTTCGACAAGGACCCTTCTCTAGCATCAGCAAGTCCTGTGTAGAGTCAAGCTTTCACAGTCTAATGTGTGTGGAAAAAAACTCAACTGACTTAAAGAGATTGGAAAAGCAGTGAAAACGTTTGGAATAGCATGTCTGAGTAGGGATTATGTCCTCTCAAATAGAAGGCAAGAGATGAAAACAGAGTGCTTCCAATAGTTACTAGGAGGGCCTTCTGTCTCTCTTTTTCATGCTGCTGTGAAGTAAAGGAAGGATGCTTTCTAGGGATGATGAAAACATGGAGTTTAAGAGCCAAGGAGTCCTGGGTTTGATTTCCTGCTTTGCCCTTTATTAGCTATGTGACCATAAACAGATACGCTGCTATGAAATAAAGGAAGGATGCTTTCTAGGGATGATGGAAACATGGGGTTTAAGAGCCGAGGGATCCTGGGTTTGATTTCCTGCTCTTTGCCATTTATTAGCTATATGACCTTTCAACAAATATTTTTCATCCAGATGCTGGGGATATAGTGATTTAATGAGTTTCCTAATCTCCCTAAGTCCATTTTTTTCTTCCACAAACGGGAATTAATATATAGTACTCCCCACACTGAGTTTTTGTAAAGCACCCATAACCACATAGTCTTCACACTGTTTTGAATCAGACTGATAGCCTAAAGATAAACATGGTGTCCACTCTACTCACAGTTACCTGAGAGACTTTCAGGGGCCCAAATGTGAAACTATACTGTTGATTTGTTAAGTGCTATACTAGGAGTAGGAACAAAGTACTGGGGCAGAAAGAGGAGGTGGAAATAAATGCATGGGGAGTTCAGAGAGCATTAAAAAGTTTCACAGAGGAAGGAAGATTTGGGCTAAGCCTTGGTGGATGAGAAAGCTCAACCTACAAGAAAGCAAACGTGAACAAGATGGACATTTCAGGCAGAAGAAACAGCATGATGTATGGGCATTCTGAAAATGTTTATGTAATCAAGAGTAGCTGGAAGCTAGTGGTGCTGAGCTGTTCCTTCTTGGAATCCCTCTGGGGAATACCTGGAGTGGTATCCGGCTGGATCAGCGGTCATTTAGAGGATTTCTTTCTTGGCCATCTGCCCACTGGTCAAGGTCTGTAAGTACTGTCTTATGCATGCATTTTCTTACCAGTTATGGAGAAACTTTTCTTTAAAACATACAGGAGTTTCCAACTTCATTACCCAAAGTTACTATCTGTTTACAATGTGCTCGAGACAACAAAAGTGGAAAACAGATGGTCTGGGGCAAAGAGGTCGGGAGAGCTCTGTGAAGGAGCTAGCACTTGAGCTATGGCTAGAAGGAATACTAGGTCTCAGGCAAGTAGAGAGGAGGGGAGCTAGTGAAGAAGTAGAAATGAGCATGGTTTATTTGGGGACAATGCCCAGACTTAACGGGCATGGGTGTTCTTTGAAGGTCATTCATCTCTTTTGGGAGTAGCTGAGAAAGAAGGTGAGTTTAACTTTGGAATATGTTTGTACCTGTATGATTTACAGGTAAATAAGTATATGCAGAAGGCAGCAGGTAGCCTGATTTTGGAATTCCTGAAAGGTCGTAGTCAGGTCCAAATGGGAATTGTCAGCGTACAGGTTGATTTTAAAGCCCTATACGTGGGAGCAGCAAATAGTGAGAGACGGGCAGAGGGTTGTGTGTGGACTCCTGTGGTTTGGTTTGTAAGAGTGAAAATAGAAGGAGGCTGAGAAGGCACGGTCAGAAGTATGTGAAGAACCAGGAGAGAAACAGTGGTATCTCACAAGTTAAAGGCTGAGAGTTCTATAGAGCAAAGAATAGTCAACTGTCTTAACTGCTGCAGTGAGGTCAGGTAAGATATTTTGCCTCTGACTTGATCTGGCTACCAAGAGGTGACCTAAGTAAGAGCAGTGGATCACAACAGACTGGTAGTTTGAGGGACCCCTAGGGAGTAGGTGGATGAAACCCTCAAATGTGGATTGCTTCTAGAAGGTGTGCTCTGGAAAGGAGAGTTTTTGGTTCATAGCTAGAAGGAGACACTTTCTAACATGTAGTCATTGCAATAAGCCTTAAATAGTAGGCAAAATTTTAACAGGCAAAGCCAGTGGCATTAAAGAGGAAGCGGTGGTGTGAGCACCAGTTTAGCTGTGATAAAGTGAAGGGCAGTTTTGAAAAGCAAGGGGACTGTTTGGGCAGAATGTGGGATGTGCATGAGAGGGAAGTGAAAAAGAAGTTGGCTAAATATATGTATATTGTTTGAGATAACATGATCAAAGCTGCATCTGACACAGGAGCAGCAGTAGAACCGAGACAACCAAGACTTTTCTGTGGCAGCATAAACCAGTTTACCAAGAGTCAGTGTGCTGGTGTTATTATTAATAATATTGAACATTTGTCACAGATGACAGAGTGCATTTACCTTCTGAGCTCATCATCACGGCAACTCTATGGTAGGTAAGCCAAGGTATATTACCTCTATTGACATACGGAAACTAGAGGGCCATTTCACAGGATACTTTTCTCCAGACACTCTAATGGAGGGAGCAATTTCCAGGGTGTTGCAGGTCAGATTTCCTGAAGCAGATCTTACCCGGAGGTTAAGTGTGCAGGAGGTTTATTAGGAAGTGCTCTTGGGATCAATGCCTAGGGAAGGGATGGAAAGGCATGGAATCGGACAGAGGGATATGTGGAGCTGCGATGTGATACAGTCACAGTGGAAGTTACCTTCTGGGGAGTTCTAGGGTAGCCATTAGAGGAGTCCAGAGTTGAGGCAAGGATGCCTTGCTTTTATGTCTGTGCTACTTCTACCAACCAGCGAGTATAGGAGAGGAAGTGGTGTGACCCTGGACGAGTCAGCCGTATTCAACCAAAACAGTCTGGTTATGGGATGACTGTTGGCATTGCTTCCAGCAGCTGGGGAATGAGTCACATCTGAAGAGATCAGGGTTCATCGCAGCATCCGCTCCACAGCTAGGCAGCCTTGCTAGAAAACCTTGGAGATAAGATACTTTCGTCTAAATTCCTCATTTTATACATATGGAAGCCTGGCCCCAGACAGAATGAACAGTTTGTCCAGGATCAAAAAGACACAAACAGCTGGGACACAAATAAGGTTTCCATTGCAGTACCCTTTCCACAGCCCTATACGGCATCAGCATAGCAAGACAGACAGATTGGAGCAAGATGTGGCTAAATTGTAGTTGACTTTCCGTCTACCTGACTCCTTAGAAAACAATTGGTTTGGCATTTTTTTCTCTTGATGTAGAGGTGTAATACTATCATAACCTATATGACCTAACTCCCCTCTTACTTTAAGTATTCCGTAAACTTCAGTGAAAATATATCGAAGTGTATGAAGAAATAATTTATTCTCAATTGCTCCCTCACTAGGGAAAAAATAAGTCTATTGGAAGCAATGGAGAAGGCGTGTAAATCTCTGTCCACCCAGCATGCCTGGACCACACCCTCCACCATGAGGATACCTTTTGGAATAACTCATCAAAGCACAGTATTCTTTGAGCACCTGCAGTGGGGAAGGCATTGTGCCAAAAATTGTGAAGAACAACACATGTGGAACTTGCTTCTTGACATTTTCAAGGGCACATTCTTGTTATTGAGACAAGACACATCCAGGAAGTTAAATTGCAATGTGAAGTGCTGTAGTATATTTAGCTAGAAATGCCAGAGTGAATGGTAATAAAGAATAGGAAAGAGGGAAAAGATAATAGCTGTTTTATCGAGCGCTCGCTATATGCCAGGAACTAATCTCATAACCCTTGAGATTGGTATTTTTATGAACTTCGTTTTCAGTTGAAAGAAATAAAGTACAGTGAGGTACAGGAACTTGCCGCACTCACACAGCTGATAAGTAGGAGGGGAAGGTTAGCCGGCCCTGCATCCGCATATATAACTATTTCCCATGCTGCCTCTCCCTAGGTGCTAGTAGGGATCCATGGCCTGCTGGGTACCTTTGGTTGGAGATGTGAAAAAGAAGACTTCCTCCCAGTTTGTACCCAGGACACAAGCTCATTTTTAGATGCAGAATTTCAGAAAGTTCTGCCTTCAGCTATTTCTTGCATACCAATGATTTTCCACTGAATGAGGTTATAGGTGACCTCAGCCAAGTTATTTGACTTCTCTGTGCCTTGGTTTCTTCATCTATACACTAGAAAAATAATAATACACTAGAAAAATAATAATACCTATGTCACAGGATTGGATGAGGAGTCAATGCATGCAAAATACATGAAACAAAGCATGGCACATAGTAAACAGTAATTTCCCTTGAGAATTCACCTGTAGAAGCCTTTTATCAGAATAGCACACTAACAGGAACTTATTAAAAGAGGTGGGTAGATGCAGCACTCTGGGCCAGGTGCTTACTGTAGTATGAGAAACCGCCACTTCCACTCAGTCCTCTCCTTCCTCTTACACTGGGACAGAACGTTGCCATAGCTAGCATGCAGCTTCTGCTGATCCAAGGAGCAAGAGTTGCCTTGCCTACACAAACTCCAGTTTCTCCCAATATTTTACCTCTTCACATGTTGCTCATTTATAGGAAAGCACTTACTGTAAACCACTGCTCAGCCAAAACCCGAGCATGCAGTAGCTCTATAGAGTGTACAGGGAAGGAGTGACAGATAACTCATCTACCTTTGTAATTATGTAAGACACTGTTGACTGGAAGGGAATACTACAGAAAAAGCAGGATCTTTCTGTTTTTGAATATTGAATTGTCAAATTCCCATATTGAATTTTTGAAACTTTTTTAGGGGAAAAATATATTTTAATTACTTGGTAGTTCCAAAGGCAGATTCTATATACTTAGTCCTTTTTAACGGTGGGCCCATCATTAATCTTTTCTTAGAATTAGTTAAGACAGTCTACCTCAAAGTATGGTCTGAAGGCAGGTGCTATTCCACAAGCTATCACCAGGGTACAGAAAAGTTAAGAACGGAACTTGGGAGTTAAACACTTAAAAACCTCAATAGTCTAGGTGTGGTGGCTCATGCCTGTAATCCCAGCACTTGGAGAGGCTAATATGGGATGATTACTTGAAGCCAAGAGTTTGAGATGTGCCTTGGTAACATAGCGAGACCCCATCTCTACAAAAAATTTTAAAAGGCTAGGTGTGGTGGCTCATGCCTGTAATTCTAGCACCTTGGGAGGCTAAAGCAGGAAGATCACTTGAAGCCAGGAGTTCAAGACCAGCCTGGGCAACATGGCGAGACCCTGTCTCTACAAAAAATTTTGAAAATTAGCTGGGTAAGGCTGAGCGCAGTGGCTCAGACCTGTAATCCCAGCACTTTAGGAAGCCAAGGTGGGCAGATAACGAGGTCAAGTGTTCAAGACCAGCCTGGCTAAACGGAGAAACCCCATCTCTACTAAAAATACAAAAATTAGCTGGGTGTGGTGGCGTGTGCCTGTAGTTCAGCTGCTCGGGAGGCTGAGGCAGGAGAAACACTTGAACCCGGGAGGTAGATGTTGCATTGAGCCAAGATTGCACCACTGCTCTCCAGCCTGGCAACAGAGTAAGACTCCGTTTCAAAAAAAAAAAAAAAAAAAAAAAAAAAATTAGCTGGGTGTGGTGGTGTGCACTGGAATTCCCAGTACTTTGGGAGGCTGAGGTGGGAAGATCACTTGAGCCTAGGAGTTTGAGGCTGCAGTAAGCTGTGACCACGCCACTGTACTCCAGCCTGGGTGACAGAGCGAGATCCTATGTCCAAAAAATAAAGTATTTGGATGTAGTGGTGTGTGCCTGTGGTCTCAGCTACTTGGGAGGCTAAAGCAAAAAGATTGCACATGCCCAGGAGTTTGAGGCTGCAGTGAATCATGATCACACCACTGTATTCACCTAGGCAACAGAGTGAGACCCTATCTATTTTTTTTTTAAAGGAAGAAAAATAAACCTCAGCACAAGTATTGCCACTGTACTCTCTAGGTTGGCTTAAAATGTGGGATTTTGTTGGGTGCTCTTCCATTAACTGGTCCTGCTACTAAGTGCTATATTAACACTGGTATGCATTGAACTACAAAAGCATTCTTGCTCTTCAGTAGTCAGTGCAAACTTGTGAGTAGTGTTTTTAAAAAGATGACACCTACAAGTGATATGGACTCAACCCAGATTGGCCCTCGTAGTCCCCATCTGTTACAAACATGCAACAGGGATAGATACGGCTTACAGAGATACCATGAAAGATAGACGTAAAAGTGTAGCAGATTATAATCTACTTCTCATTGGAGCCACTCTTAGATTCCCATGAAGACTTCTAACTTTCATTAGTCCTATCTTGATACTTTTCAGCCCTAAACATATGGTCCTATTTGTATTTTCAAGTCTTAGTGAATGGTGGGAATAAAGTGTACTCTTAGCTGATAACTGCCCTTTCTCATTCTTGCTAAAAGTCTCTTTTTTAAAATAGGAAAATATATTTGTTGATCGGTCAAGGATGGCTCCGAAGACGCCAATAAAAAATGAACCAATTGATTTATCAAAGCAAAAAAAATTTACTCCAGAAAGAAATCCCATTACTCCAGTTAAGCTAGTTGACAGACAGCAAGCGGAACCATGGACACCGACAGCTAACCTGAAGATGCTCATTAGTGCTGCCAGCCCAGATATAAGGGACCGGGAGAAGAAAAAGGGACTATTCCGACGCATTGAAAACAAGGATGATGTATTTACAGATTCTCTACAGGTAAACAGACTGTGCTCCTTGGCAATTTTATGGAACTTAAAAAATTTTACTTGATTATTAAAAAGTCATAGAACTCTCAATTTTTCAGCTCCTATTGAGCTAAAAGCAGTGTCAAACCGAATATCTTTTGCTTTTTATTACAGAAATCTCATTCTATCTTATTTTTCATAATGAATGCTTTATTTTCTGTATGATACTCCCTGGACCAGGGCTCATCTAAAAATGATAAATTATTTTGAAGTAATGATATTTAATCATTTTATTTAATGAAGGGATTTGGATTTTTTAAATACTTCTGTGAATTTTAATTTTGCCCAGATTTTAAGGATAACATTAATGTAAATATTTTTGGTTTAGGAAATTCCATTATTCTTATATATGACCAGTTTGTTAGTTTGGAGCTTTACTGAAGTTAAGCCATCTTTAAATTACCTGTTCTGTGGGGAAACAGTGCTGTTGAATAAGCAGCATGTCTATATTTTGTAAAAATAAGAATAATAATAAAAGGTCGGTTATTTTCATTTTCCATCAAGCTTTTTCCCAAGCTTGCTAAGAAAAGTTTTGAAGATTTCAGTATTCTTAGCCATTTTTCTCCTTTTGGCGGATTTTTTTAAGCTATAAAAATTGCCAAAGTGAAGAAATTGGGAAGAGAGAAGAGAAAAAAGATGTCTCGAATTACAACTTGAAATTCATCGAACAAAATGACTTTAATCTGTTATATATATTGCAGTGGGAGTACGGAGATTCTTTTACATAACTAAATACAAATCATACAGTCTTGAGAGTACTTCCTACAGGCTTGAAGCCAGAGGAATTTCACAATTCCTTTTTAAAGTCTGGGCTGTCCTTTGGCTTCCTTTCCATTTTATATTTGATATGAAATCCACAAGGAGCTGGTTTCTGAGGCCTTGGGTTCAAATTGCTAGCTGGTGACTGGGGGAAATCTCAACACCTCAGTTTACTCACTTGTAAAATGAGGGTTGTGGTACCTGTCCTGGTTTAAAACTACATAAGATTAAATGTGCCTCTGGTTGTCAAAGGCATATAAATATTAGATTTTTTGTAATTTTTTTTACAAAAATATAGCAAAGTGACAATCAACCAATGGAAATGATTAGTGACCTCTTGCACAAGGTAACATTATTGATCTAACTTTGGTAGAACTAGTTGTTTAACATGCCCCTAAAACAGTTAAAATTTTCGTTTTCTACTCAGGCTTTATAGAGAGATTTTAGCTGATGAGTCACTAGAAGTGTTCACCACCTTTAGAAAGTAAATGCCTACAATTTCAATGGATTTAAAACAGACTTTCTTTTGAAATTGAGAGCTTTAATCTATTTCAGCAGTGTTTCACAATTTTTGGTGTACAGATGTATATCTCGTCAGATTTTTCTAGATTTCCAAGTTTTTTTATGCTATTGCAAATTATATTTTTTATTTTAGTTTCAATTTCCAATAGTTTGTTTCTAGTATATGCAAATACAATTGATTTTTTTTTTTTGTATATTGATCTTGTATCCAGAAAACTTACTATATACTGATGCTTTTAATGTCTGATGTATTCGATCAAAATCAAGTAGTTTTAAGTAGTTTTTTTCTTTTAAGTTCAATGGGTACATGTGCAGGTTTGTTACATGAGTAAATTGAATAGAGCGAGTGTTGGGTGTATAGATAATTCGGTCACCTGGGTAATCAGCACAATACCCAACAGGTAGCTTTTCAGTCATCACCTTCCTCTCACCCCTCTACCCTCAAGTAGGCCTTGGTGTCTATTGTTCCCTTATTTCTGTCTTTGTGTACTCCATGTTAAAACAGACTTTTAATACCCTTTTTAAACTAGTCTTTATTACTTTTTGATAGACTATTTGATCATCTAAAATACACATATCTTTTGCAGTACCTTTAACACCATGAATCTACTTCTCAGCCCAAAAATGGATACAATGTAATTAATTTGCATCTGTTCCCCCAACAGAGTAACCACATTTCTGAATCTGAATTTGAATTTATAGTCTTAGGGGACTTGCTTTTGTCAATCAACATACATCCTTTAGGTTCATTTGTGTTTTTGCGTGTAGCCATAGTTCTTTCATTGCTCTATGATATTCCACTGCATGACTACACCACAATTTATTTCTTAATTCTCCCGTTTACAGCCATTTGGGTTGTTTGCAGTTTAGGGCTAGTACAGACTATGCTATGATATTCGTTCTTATTTATGTCTCCCGGTGTACATATACAAGAGTTTCCCTTGGGCAGTGGTTCTCAAAGGGTGATCTGGGGACCTCAGAGTCTGTACAGACAATCTTTCCAAGAGTCAGGGAGGTCAAAACTATTTTCATAATTATACAAAGACCTTTGCCATTTTTGAACTTTCATTCTCTCCCAAGTGTACACTGACATCTTCCGGGAAGTACATGATGTGGGTATTGCAACAGATTGATTACAAAAGGCAAGCACAAATATCAGTTCTCTTCTATTAATCCAGAAACTAAATAATATATGAAATACCCCTTTCTCACAAAACATTTTAACTGTCTCCATTTTCATTTCTAACACGGTAACTATCAATAGATAACCCCCGTAAACAATTGCCCTGTGGAGTCCTCAGTAATTTTTAAGAACATAAAGGGCTCCTGAGAGCAAAGAGTTTGAGAACTACTGTTTTGGGTACATACCTACTGGTAGAGGTGCTAGGTCATTAGATATGCAGAGGTTCACAAGATAATGCCAGATTGCTTTCCAAAGTACTGTTTGCCTCCCTCCAGTAATATATAAATATTTAGCCATCCATATCCGTTCTGACACTTGAAATTGTCAAATTTCATAATTTCTGCTAGTCTCATGACTCTACAATGTGTATCTTTTTGTGATACTCGTTTGCTTTTCTTTGATTATTCATCAGATCAAGCTTCTTTCCACATGTTTACTGGCCACCATGTTTTCTGCTCTTCTGTGAAATGCCTGTTTGTGTTCTTTGCCAATTTTTATTGTTTTGTGTGTGTGTGTGTGTGTGTGTCATTTTGATTTGTAGGAGTTGACTATATATTGATACTAAACCTTTATTAATTATGTGAGTTATGTATCTATTCTTTCAGTTTGATAATTGTCTTTTCCCTTTATGTTATTTCTTGATGAACAAAAGTTCTTAGGTTTAATTTAGTTCATTTTTTTCTTCTAAGAGTAATGTTTTTTGTGTCTGAAGGAAGTCTTCCCTATTCCAAGGTTAGAAAAATAATCTCCTTTATTTTCTTCATTTCAAATTTGCTTTACCTGTTTAAATTCTTGATCCATTTGGAATTGCTTTTTGTGGATGGCGTGAGTCAAGAATTCAACTTTGATTTTCTATACATACCATCAGTTGTCCCTGCACTATTTATTCAGGAGGTCTTTCTCCTCCCCCTCAGCTGGGCTGGCAGTGCAACTGCTTTCATGTCAAAGTTCCATTTACATGTGTGTCTGTTTCTAGACCCTTCCTGTTCCATTGTCCATTCCTACCCTAATACTCTTATTGTATGAAGCAGGTAGAACAAAATCTTTCTTCAGAGCATGTGGGCTACTCTGGACTGTTTGTTCTTCCATATGTATTTTAGATAGGATTTTAGTTGAGATTGCATTTAATCTGGAGACTAAGAAGAATTCACCTCTTTACGATACTGAGTTGTTGTCTTTGTGAAGACGGTATATTTCACTAAATTTTAAGTATTCTTTAAAATCTTAAGTTTTTGTATTTTATGCAGATAGATTTTTGCTTGATTTATTCCTAAAATCCTTATCAATCTTGTTGCTTTTCGTAAATGATACCTTTTCAATTCCTTTGCTGTTACTGTTGTATAGGAATGCAGCTGATTTTTTTAAATGTATTCTCTTGTATTCAACTACCTTGCTAAATTCTTTTATTATTTTTAATGATTTGTCAGAGATTCTTTTGAGTCTTTTGTGTGAACAGTGATATCTTCTGGAGAAGGAAAGTGGCTGATTCCTTTCCAGTCCCTGTGCCTCAGTTTCTTTTCCTTGTCCCCACACATTGACTAGGGTCTTCAGTCTGATGCAGAAGAGAAAGTGATCATGGGCATCCTAATTGTTTCCTGACTTTAAGGGACCACTTCCAAAGTTTTACAAATAGACGTTTGCCGTTGTGTTTTCATGAATACCCTCATTGAAGTTCTCTATTATTCCAAGTTTTTTAAAGGTGTTTCTGAAAATCATGAATGACTGTTAAATTTATCAAATGTTTTTTTCTGAATCTATAGAGATAATTAGATCACTTTTCTCTTTGAATCTGTTCATTGAAAAGCCTTTTACATTATTGGGGCTTGAATGGAGCCCCTTTCAAATGTGGGTGGAGGAGACAGGATGCTAGTTTAATGTATTTACAAATAAAGCATAAGGAAGAATATGATTGGACTGCCTTCATTCATTTTTACTAACCTTTGGTCAATTGTGAAATATAAAACAGTTTGATGAAGAAGGCAGGCCAGTGTATCTTAAACTTCCCTGTCAATAGAAATCACCTAGACTCTTATAAAAAGCCAGATTCTCATATAGCTGATGCCTGAGATTCTACATCTCATAAGCTCTTGGTGATGCTGATTCCACAGGCCCAGCGAATGCACTAGTAGCTAGGCTGTAGCAACCAGTAAATGACTTGCATTTTTCATTTGTCAAACTTTTAACTAATAGACTCAGTCTCAAATTACAAAGGAGAAAAAACATCAGTCCAGAGGAGACAATAGATAAAACATTCAAGAAATTAGATTAGGAAACATATTTTAACCAGAATCTAGGATGGTATGCATTGAGATGTCCCCCCACTTTGCCAGTACTGGCCATTGCCATTTCTCCATTAGGATGTTAACTGTGACATATTCCCCCTCCCTTCTATCTGCCTTCTGTAGCTTGATGTTGTTGGGGACAGTGCTGTGGACGAATTTGAAAAGCAAAGGCCAAGCAGAAAACAGAAAAGTTTAGGACTCCTGTGCCAGAAGTTTCTAGCTCGCTATCCAAGTTATCCCTTGTCAACTGAGAAAACTACCATCTCCCTAGATGAAGTTGCTGTCAGTCTTGGTATGTATCATCAGATTACCTGGAGGCCTGTCTCCAGTTACTGTGGGAAACTGGTTTCCTTGGGCAGGCCGAGGCCTTCAGGTAGTGTGGGCCCTTCAATAGGGTGAAGACAGAGGAACAGGCACAGATTCCTTTGTCATCATCAAATTTCTCTTCATTTTACAAAGAATTTCAGGGAGCCTCTTAGACCTGAGGACCAAACAAGAATGCAGTCTTTTTTAACCTTAAAAATATTGTATAATGAGTAATATTTTTATAATAGAGTTACATTACAAATTAGTGTCTCATATTTTAAATTCATCTTACTTCAAACAGATGCAAAAATATTTAGAAATAGCCTGCTTTGTATTTTTAGTAATGCTTCCAGCAGTTCAGAACTGGTATTATTTCAACTTTGTAAAGCACGATTTGAGAGCAAGAGCATTATGTTTAAAGTCCCATACGATGATTGGTACAGCAAGTGGGGTCAAACTAGAAAAGGTCATTTGGACATAACCCAAACAACTAAACCTTATAACAAAGAGGAATCCACGTGTTCACATGCATGAGTGCATGTGAGATGGGTGTGTGTGCTGAAGAATGTGTATTCACCTGCTTCGGAATAGAGACCCCTAGTGGACATTGCAGTTATTTCCAGAATGAACATATTGTTGACATTTGTTAAATAAGCAGAAATTACAATGGCTTGAAGGTGTCAGGGTGGCCCCCTTAAAAATAGGAAGGTTTTACATACACACAAAAAAAGAAGACGTTCTGAAGAAATCAGCTAAATAAATAAATGATAGATTATAATTTTTAGTTTGTTTATTAGTTCTGTTTCTTCCATATCCTAGAGAAATATGCCCAATAGAGGAAGATCAACCTGAATTACTCAAGCTGAAAGCAAAGTAGATTTTGGTTGTTGGAAACTGAGATGAAGAAACAGTGAGTTAAGATGGGAAGACCATGGGCTGGGCTTTGGATCACATAGGGCTAGAGATTTGAAGCCCAGCTCAGCTCTCTAATTTATAGGCTATAAGAGCTCAAGGTGAATTAACCTTTTTTTTTTTTTTGTCTATAACTTAGAGACCACAGCACCTACCTTGCAGAGACAGAGCAAAGTTAAGGATAATGTCAGTAACATGCCAAAGTCAATGGCTGGCATGATGAGCTCTTATTATTATGAGGAACAGTTTCAGATCAACTCTTACTAGAATGTCAGTACCCTAGCTGCCCTATCCCCCTCTATAGAGGAAGTAGGGTGCTATGGTTTGGAGGTTGATTTGGAGTCCAGAAGTGTAATATAGTATTCTAGGATTGGTGGCAATTAATCAAGAAAGGGAAAGTGAGCCAACTGAACATCAAAAATAGGGTCCCTTGCTGGCCCTGGGGTGTATCAGTTGCATTCACATGGCATTTCTAATGGGAAGGTATATGGAATGTTACACTCAACAAGATGTGTTAATATATGAAAACAGACTGGAATAAAGAAGCAGGAAGTTTTGGGCAAGGAACTGCTAACTGCTTCTGCCAGTACCTTCCAACAGGCATGGTGAAGAGCCAGGTGAGGCTCTTAGGTCCAGGGTCCTAGAAACTAGTCTTACAGTAATGAAGGTAAAATGACAGATCGTCTGATATCCTTCTCATTGGGGTTCATGAAGCCTACATCCTCTGTATACCCAACTTCCATTAAGGAGTTTTGCACTGGTGTCACTGCAGAAAACAAAGGATTAGATGTTACAGGGCTGTGTTACGTCCCACAGAGGACAGAAAAGTAGACTCGTACTTTCATATGGCTCTAGATTGTTGCACACATCCCCATGTTATGGCTGCCTGGAGCAGAACTCAAGGGATTTTTATAAGAGCTTCCCAATGCCTCCTGATCACCCAGACCTGCCAAACAAGCATGCCATCATTTCATGTGACATCATAAAATGGGGTCCCTTGCTGGAAGCTTTTTCACTGATGAATATCTTTTGGGATTGAGTCTGAACTCAGTGCTACATCCCAGGTTAGAGGCCACAAGGCTATATTTAACTAAGGATGTGCAAAGCATTCAAATTACATTGTTTTCTGGATTCTGGTGCCATGTAGATTTGACATTGGATATAATGGGTAACAGTTTAGAGAATTGGGAGTGACTTAATAGCACAGCGTAGGAAACTATTTTTCTGGGCTGAGAATTCTTAGTAAGTTCCATCAGCAACTAAGGGAATCTTAGCAAAAGATTAGTAAATCCTTGACCATTTAACTGATCCTATGATTGGGATTAATAGAATAACTTCAATATAAAAGAAAAAGAAGATTGAATGCCAGGGAAAAGCATTCTGACAGAGCAAGCCCCCAGAGTAACCTACAGGTCTTGAGACCTGTGCAATGGAATTTTCTAGTGCACCAGCCAGTGGGCAGTTAAACTCAGTTCAGATGAAAGAGGTAAGGGATTGTGCAGGCAGGCAGCTGCCATGTTGGTTTTCACCAAAAGCACCTACTAAAAACCCACTGTGCTTCCTGAGAATCATCGAGAATCTCCAGGTGGTCAGAAGCTTCTTCTATTTTCCCTTCTTGGGATGTCTAGCCGCTAGATGGAGACTTAACAGCTTGTTATCGAATATAAACTAACAAAACAGCGGGGCATATGGCTGGCCCTGGGGTGTCAGTTGCGGTCACATGACATATCTAATGGGAAGTTTTATAGAATGTTATGCTCTAAACAAGATGTGTTAATATATGAAAACAGACTGGAATAAGAAACAGGCAGTTCTGGACAAGGGGCTGCTGCCTGCTCCTGCTAGCACCTTCTAGCAGGCATCTGGCACCGAAACCTGAGCTTGTGAGGGTAACAAGCCTTTCAGGGTCATGAGCTGAAATGTTCTGATTGACTGTGAAATGCCTCTTTATGCATGTGATAGAACTTCCTTTCAGCTCCGGACTTCTCATTGTAATTTGGTATATTTCTCATGTTAAATTTTTGAAGGGCCAACAGCTACATTCAGAGTCTGCCCTGATTATATAACAGCTCCTGGCAAGTGAAATGAAAGAAGGCATCTTTGTAGCTGGGCTGGTTTTCTCTAAGATGCCTGGAGGCTTTTGCTGTGGGCCCAAGGGCCTGTTGCACAACAGAATGAGTCACAGACATGAGATTTTTAAAATCTATTTCTGCTGTGACCTCTTATGCTAGCAGGGATTTTAGGTATAAACAATGTCATGACAAAAGTATTTATTTAAAATTAACACCTACTGGAGACTCTGTATTTACACTTACATTTCATCCTCATTTTTATATGAGATAAATACAGAGGCACAAAAAGGTTAAGTAACTTCCCAAGATCACCCAGCTAGTAAGGCATAAATCAGGGATTCAGATTTAGGCAGTATGACCCCAGAGCCCCACACCCTCAACCACTCTAAGTATTTTTGCTAGGTTTGATGGACAGCTTATAACCCTAGCTGCCTTGGGAGTGTTGGGAAAGCGAGCTGCTGAGCCTCATGGTCAGCTTGTACTGGAGTCTCTGTGCTTCACTTTTGGGCTGTGTGCTGGGTTATGGTGAATGCGAACACAGAGAATTGTCAATAGCCATCATGAGCAAAAGGAGACTCCCCTGTTGTTCCAACCCTGGCTCTGGCTTCCTTCAGTAATATGAGAAGGGTATTCAAGCCCTTGACACCTGCATTTCCAATTCGAAATAGAAAACGTAATATTTGCACCTGTTTTCCTTACTGGTCCATTGAGAACATTATCAAGGTAATTTTTTTATGTCATTCAAACTCCATGAAAGGGTAGATAGTATTGTCCAATAGTGAAGTGTCAGTTTTTAGGCACAGTTGATTTTATAGTCTGCATAATTAGGAGTACAAGTCATAGTCAACCATCCATTCATCAAGTGTCCATTAGGCACACTGTTACGTGTGTTGCTCAGTCCACCCATTTCAGCATGCTGAAATGTTTGTGTGGTTTGCCTAACAGGTCTAAAGAGAAGTTGCTATACTATTTATGTCAGACAGATGGAACTATCACCATCTCTAGATAGATGTTTTATCTTCGATATTTTTAAGGGTTGGATCTCAAGAAGTAAAAAGAAAAATAATTTCTATTGCTTGCATCCTTGCAGGTTGAATCTCTTGAGCATCCACACAGTGGGCATTATATTGGGGATCAGACAAAGTAGTTCACAGACATAGTCCAGGCTCTCAAGGAACTTGTCTTCAAAAATGTTTGTCTGCATGATGTCTGTTGGCCTCTGTTTTTCAAACAGGTGTGGAAAGGAGACGCATCTACGACATTGTAAATGTGCTGGAGTCGCTGCATCTGGTCAGCCGGGTGGCTAAGAATCAGTATGGCTGGCATGGACGGCACAGCCTGCCGAAAACCCTGAGGAACCTCCAGAGACTAGGAGAAGAGCAGAAATATGAAGAGCAGATGGCCTATCTCCAACAGAAAGAGCTGGACCTGATGGATTATAAATTTGGAGAACGTAAAAAAGATGGTGATCCGGATTCGCAGGAACAACAGTTACTGGATTTCTCTGAACCTGACTATCCCTCCTGTGAGTCCATTGTAACTTCATGAGTAATGGCAGAGAAAGAATGAGTGATGGTCTCCTCTGCAAAGATTCACTGCTCAGATGGGAAGTGCCAGGTTGACAACCCTGGAGGGAGATGTCCTCTTATTCTCTTCACTGAAGAAAAGGAGGCAGATGGCTCCCCAACTGGACTGCCTGCTCGACCTCATTTAAATAAACCTGGCTTATGGCAGGTCACTCGTGTTTGGCCTGTTGGGAGAATAGATCACTAGCAGTACTCCCATTTATAGACAGGCAGCCCCATGCTGGTTCTTTTTGTATAACTGTAAGATTTACTTTGAAAAAGTTATCTTTTTAAAGAATTTTATCAAATTATATACTGGAGTAGACTACTTAGGAAAGAACTCTGTTTGAAGAAAATGTTGATAAGAAAGACAGACAACCTCTGCTTTCATTTGGAGCAGAATTTTTATTTACATCAGCATGGTTCTTCCTTCCCAATTCATATTTATCCTCTTGTTTTAGCCAGATCTTCATCCCTGTTGCTAAGATGACAAAGTACAAGTGCAAATATAAGAAATAGAAATGGAAAGAATGGTGGGCCTGGTTTTCATTAGATTCACTGCCTATAACCAGAGAAGACAGCCATCTGTCAGGGATGGTTTGCTTGCCATCCACTGGAGCACACATCTAATCTGTCTCCTGTTTATATATAGCTCATTTATTCACATATTTCTGAAAAGAAATGGAAGAGGTGGGCATCTACTATGTTTAGGGTATAGTCTAGATATTGCGGGCACAGAGAATAAAAATGGAGTTCTTGCCTTTGAGAGGAGAGTTGATGTTCTGAAAACAATTCTGTATTCCTACCCTATCCTTTTATCCTTCTACATTAATCTTTCCAAGAAGTTGCTTCAGGAAAACTACCGCATGGATTCTATTATAGAAAGTATAAGTATAAAGCACTTGAGTGGTTTAAAATATGCATCTCAGAGTTTATGCCTACTGTAGAGTAATTTTATAAGCCCCAAGAAAATCTGTCTCATTTCTTCCTGAGCTGACTTCTGTGCTGTGTATCCAGTAAGCTTCTGCCTTTGACAAGGGTGATCTTTCCATGTGCTGGTAGGGCTAGATCATGTTGGCAAGCTGCAAGTATAGCCTTTCTTGTAGAAAATCATATGCTTTAATGCTTTTGTTTCGTTCCTTGTGTAGCATCGGCAAACAGTAGAAAAGACAAGTCTCTGAGAATTATGAGCCAGAAGTTTGTCATGCTGTTCCTCGTCTCCAAAACCAAGATTGTCACTCTGGACGTGGCTGCCAAAATACTGATAGAAGAAAGCCAAGATACCCCGGACCATAGTAAATTTAAAAGTAAGTCTTCACCTACATCCACTTACTAACACAAAAAGGGTGGGATTTCATATGTTGATGTTTTCTGCTTCCAAGATTTTATATATATATATATATATATATATATATATATATATATATAGTTTTTGACATGCATACTCCTTTCCTGCATTCATAAAGGGTTTTGGTGCTGTGAGAGGTAAGTTAGTCACCGACTAGCATTCAGCTTAAAGTCCTGTCAGTGCCTTTCCCTTGATGGTTTCAGTGGACGGTGAAAAACAGAACACTATCCTGAGAACGCCGGTCAGGGAGGGTGTGAATTATTTTGCATTTCTCTTTAGTATTGCTACATCCAAGACAGAATGTCTGAGTTTTCTTTCCCCTTTTTTCCCCACCCCCTGCATACTCTTCTGAAGGGTGGAGATGAAAATTGTCTGCAGGTAAGAACCAGAAGAATGGCCAGGGTAAGGGTGGTGGGACATGGACAGGGAGAGAGTTTCCAAACATCACACCCAGGGCATCCTCCTTTTCTGTCCAGCTCGGATACTGAGCCACATGCCCTGGGCTGCTGGTAGCCTATTCAAGCCCCAGGAAACCATGAGCTCAACATACTCTAGCTATTTTTTGTTTCCAGCTGAAATTACAGTCACCCTGTGGGTGAAATGGCTAGATAAAAATCAGGATTGGGAAAAATAAAGCTGCATCTGGGGTGAATGCTTACTATTTCTGGATGATAATTCAAACTCCTTTGCTTGATCTTAATGCTGAGGTCAAATGGGTTTCCTACCTGTAAATCAATTTCTTAAATAGAAAATACTTTGTGGTCATGATCTTGCCTGCTTAATGTGCTACCACCCCGTCTGAGTATTTCATATATTTTGTACATTTTTAAGTGTTTCTACCAAAACCACTTAACATTCAGGGGAGGTCCATTCCACCCCTTCTCACTGGGTGGCTGGAATGCTACAATTTCGGGTTAGGGACTGCCTATCTTTCACACATTGTAGTGATGACCTTGAGCATCCTGTGTACCCAGGAGTGCAGCCTGGCAGGAAGCTCTAGGGAATCCTTGTCATTTTCACAGACCACCTGCCTGGTGGACCTGGCGCCACAGTCTCCTGGTGGGAGAAACTCAGGGCATGCTTTTGACTTGCCATGTCAGAATTACATTTACTAAGCCTTTAATTACAGCCCATTCCCTCCCTTGGTGATTTTGCAATTACGATGCTCCCTGTGTGTCACCAGGTGCCTCTTGCAAGAGGTGTGAAGTTGTAGAAGTGGAAGGACACACTAACCTTCCCTTAGCCTTCAGATACTGCAGGTACATAAAGCCTGGGCGATTTTATGACAGAGCCACTGATCTCATCCCAACCTGCTGCTTTCCATCCGAGATTTATATGGTAGCTGAGAAAAGTTACCTGTCATGTAAACTAAACTGTCATGGTGTCACAGGCGGCATGACCATATCATGTTTTATATCTTCAAGCAAAGGTACGACGCCTCTATGACATAGCCAATGTTCTGACCAGCTTGGCTCTGATAAAGAAAGTACATGTAACAGAAGAGCGAGGCCGTAAACCAGCCTTCAAATGGATCGGGCCGGTGGACTTCAGCTCAAGTGGTAAGGTGGCGTGGTTTTGCTAGCAGGCTGTTTTATTTAGAATTCTCAGTTCCTTTTCCCAGCTCACATCTACTACACAGTGAGTGGTAGATCTTTTCCCATGTCACACACAAAATTAGACTAGTGACTCCAGTCTTGGAACGGTTAACATTAGCCTACAAATGGTGCGTGCTGGTTTGCCTGCACACAGTAGGAAAGGAAATACTGAGTGTTTATAATGTGGGAGTTTCTGTAACTACTAAATTACAGCTCTTTTGCTGTTTAAATTCTGTTCTAAAGCTTTTTCCTGAAAGTTTGGGACCAAGCATTTAAAATGACACCTCTTTTGAGCTCCATTGTTTCTACATTGGTACAATAAAACGTGATTTTTCTTTGAAATTCCACATAATATAAAAATTATGAGTAAAAATCACATCAATTACTATCACAAAACTAATATGTGGTAAGATTGCATCTAAATATAGTGTGGATGTAATGGACATGTTTTCTGTAATTTATTTAAAAAGTTATAAATATCATAATTTTATAAAACTGGAGTCAAAGAGGATATTATCTTCTACTTATTTCATGGGTAATACGTGAGCAATCAGGGACTAGATCCAACTGCACCAGCTACTTTACATGTAGCTGTACTGCCTGGGAAAAAGCCATTAAAGTTATTTTTAAATTACCTTTCCAATTTTGGTGTTAATGGTATAAATGTGAGCCACTTATCCCAGGCTTATAAATATATCGCTTTCCACCTCACTTGTAGCATGTTATTCACTCAGGATCTAGATGAAACCACTTAAAATCAAGTGTAACAAATTCAACCCAGCATACATGCTGAGTGTGGACTCTGTGCCAATGACTATGCTAAGGGCCCTGAGAGAGTGAAGATGTGAGTGACAGTCCCCACCTGCATGAAGCATACCACTTTGCCATTTTCTGCTTTCTGCCTCTGGATTCTCCTCTTCTTTTCACCTGTGAAGCCCTCTTCTTTTTAATAAGAAAATATTCCCAGCCTTCAAGATCTGGCTCAAATGTCAACTCCTCCATGAAGTTTTCCCTGATAGCCCAGAGCGGAGTGTGTCATCTGAACGCTTGCAATTGAGTATTGTGCTGTTTGTGGTGGGTGAGGTTGATATGATGGTGTCATCCCAGCCCTACACATTTGAGACCAGACATCATCTTTATTCATCCTTGATTACCCCATAGTATCCAGAACAGTGCCTTACTCACTTTAGTTAGTTAATGAGCTTCTAAAATTAGGCATGTAATTAGCATATATTTGAAAGTTAGGAGAGCAATTACACACTAGACGGAGTGGTACTGGCTCTGTAGGCATTCAGAGAGGATACAGATTAAGTTCTGGTGGGCTGTTGGGTTTTGGAGGCACGAAGAGAATGTGGGATAGAAAATGAGATACAGTGTGATCAGTGGAGACTGCATTTTTGGAAGACCTCAAAAACTGAGCCAAGAAATTTGGACTGGATGTGATAGGATTAACAAAGAGTCTTTGGACAATGATTAAAAGAGAGGAAGGACTCAAAGGTGGTAGTACCACTGAAGAAAAAAAGATCCCTGGGCCAGGCACGGTGGCCTGTAATCCCAGCACTTTGGGAGGCTGAGGCGGGCAGATCACCTGAAGTCAGGAGTTCATGATCAGCCTGACCAATATTTGGTAGAAACCCCGTCTCTACTAAAAATACAAAAATTAGCCAGGTGTGGTGGCATGCGCCTATAATCCCAGCTACTCGGGAGGCTGAGACAGGCGAATCCCTTGAACCCAGGAAGTGGAGGTTGCAGTGAGCCAAGATTGCGCCACTGCACTCCAGCCTGGGTGACAGAGCAAAACTCCATTTCAAAAAAAAAAAAAGAAAGAAAGAAAAGAAAAGAAGATAACTGGAAGATGAGCGGCTGTTGAGAAGTCAAGGAGTTCATGTAGTTGCACCAAGGGACAGAACTGGGAGAACTCTCTGATTTGATGTGGGAGAAAGACTTTGGAGGCAGGTCAGGAACATTAAATTGAACGTATTTTCTCTACCCTTCAGAAACCTGGTCTTCTTTCCATATTCCCTAGTTTCGTTACTGATAACATCAAGTCCCGTTTGATTCCTTGAGCCACTCCTCTTTACCCCTTGGCTAGCAGTTTCTCACAAATTTCATAAATGTCTTTCTCCTCTTCTTTCCTACCAGCATGGCACAGTGTATTATGAATGGTGTTTTCTTTGTAACAGCTTTATCAAGGTATCATTGATATGCAACAAATGGTAGGAAATTAAAGTTAATAATTCGATAAGTTTTTTATATGTATGTACCTGTGAAATCATCAAGGTAATGAACATACCTGTTACCTTCAAAAGCCACCTCCTGCCCCTTTAGTTCCTCCCTCCTGGTCCCCACACCCTTCCCCAGGCAACCACTAATCTGCTTTCTGTCACTCTGGATTTGTTTGTATTTTCTACAATTTTTTTGTAAGTGAATCATGTGTAGTCGATCTTCATTATTCACAGGTTTCTTATTTGCCAATCTGTCTGCTTACTAAAATTTACATGTAACTCCAAAGTCAGCACCCAGGGTGTTTCCCTAGTCAGTTGTGGTCATGCACAGCTTGGTGAAGAATTTGGATCTCCCAGTGCACATATTCCCAGTTGAAGTTGAATCAGGCAGTACTCTGCCTTCTTGTTCCAGTTCTCCTACCATAAACCAGCATTCTCTTTGCAGTCTTTTTAGTGCCACTTTTTCACATTTTTGTGCATTTTGGCTCTCCAGTATTGCTGTCTAGTGTTTCTTAGCACAAGAAAGGCTGCATTGTGCCTTACGGAGAATCTACATGTGTTAGATAAGCTTTGATCGGGCATGAGTTATAGTACTTTTGGCCAAGTTCAGTGTTAACAAGTCAACAACATATATTAAACAAGGTGTCTTTAAAAAGAAACACATATAAACAAGGTCATATATTGATCAGCTAATGAAAATGTTGGAACCAGAGGCTCAGAAGAACCTAACCCTTTATGTCTGCTAGAAGCAATGGGTCAGTATTTGCTAATTCAGCGTTCACAGTGACTTTATAGAAAATAACTACTGTGAATAATGAGAATCAACTATAACCTATACTCTTTTGTGTTTGTTTATTTGTTGAGATGGAGTCTCACTCTGTCACCCAGGCTAGTGTGCAGTGGCGCAGTCTCAGCTCACTGCAGTCTCTGCCTCCCAGGTTCAAGCAACTCTCCTGTCTCAGCCTCCTGAGTAGCTGGGATTACAGGTGTGCGCCACCATGCCTAGCTAATTTCTGTATTTTTAGTAGAGATAGAGTTTAACCATGTTGTCAGGCTGGTCTCAAACTTCTAACCTTGTGATCCACCCACCTCCACCTCCCAAAGTGCTGGGATTACAGGCAGGAGCCACTGCACCCAGACACCTATACTCTTTTGATCAGGCTTCCTTCACTCAGCATAATTAATTTGAGATTTACACATATTGCAGCATGTATCAGTAATTTATTTTTATTACTGAAGAGGCTATTATAAATAAAGCTCCTGTGATTATTTGTGTACATGTCTTTGTATGGGCATATGTTTTCATTTCTCTTGGGTGAATACCTAGGAATGGAAAGGCTTCATTGTATGGTAGGGTAGATATTTGAAATTTTTGAGAAACTTCCAAACTGTTTTCCAAAGCAGTGATAACATTTTACATTTCTACCAACAGTATATGAGAGTTCTAGTTCAACCATATCTTGCCAAAACTTGATATGGTCAGTCTTTTTAATTTTAGCCATCCTAATAGATGTATAGTGGTATCTCATTTTGGATTTAATTTGCATTTCTGTAATGATTAATGATGCTGAACACCTGTTTTGCCATCTGTTTATCTTCCTTGGTGAAGTGTCTGCTCAGATCTTTTGCCCATTATTTGTTGCTATTGCGTTGTTTGCTTTCCTGTTATTGAATTGTGAGAGTTGTATATACATTCTGCATGTAAGTCTTTTATCAGATACATGATTTCCAAGTATTTCCTCTCCATCTGTGGCTTTGTCTTTTCATTATCTTAACAGTGTCTTTTGAAAATCAGAAGATCTTGATCTTCAGGAAGTCCACTAATTTATTAATTTGTATTAATTTTTTCTTTACTGGATCATATTTTCAGTTTCTTTGTTTTTGTTTGTTTTGGGGTTTTTTGTTTGTTTGTTTTGAGACACAGTTTTGCTCTTCTTGCCCAGACTGGAGTGCAGTGGCATGATCTCAGCTCACTGCAACCTCCGCCTCCCAGGTTCAAGTGATTCCCCTGCCTTAGCCTCCCGAGTAGCTGAGATTACAGGCGCCCGCCATGATGCCCGGCTAATTTTGTGTATTTTTAGTAGAGACAGGGTTTCACCATGTTGGTCAGGCTGGTCTCAAACTCCTGACCTCAGGTGATCCACCCGCCTTGGACTCCCAACGTGCTGGGATTACAGGTGTGAGCCACTGTGTCCGGCTGCTTTCAGTTTTTATCTAAGAAATCTTTGCCTAACATATGAAATTACACATGTGGTATGAGGCATGGATCAATGGGGTTCATTTCTGAGGGAATGAGAGGTTGTCTATGGATATCCAGTTGTATCAGCAACATTTGTTGAAAAGATTATCCTTTCTCTACTAAACTTCCTTACGCCTTTATTAAAAATAAATTGACTGCATGTTTGTATGTAACATGTCATTTTTCCCTGGTTGCTTTTAAGTGTCTATGACTGGTTTTAAGCAATTTGATGATGTATACTTGGTGTTCTTTGCTTCATTTGTTGTACGTGAGTGTGTTGAGTTTCTGGATCTTTGGGTTTGAAGTTTTCATCAAATTTGGCAAATTTTCAACCAGGACTTAATCAAATATTTTTCATGTCCCCTCATCTCCTAGTTTTACAGATACTATTTTGCTTTTGGCTAAAGTTGTCCCACAGTTTGCTGATAATTTATTCATTTATTTTTTCTTGCATTTCATTTTTGTACAGTTTATTGCTGTGTCTTTAAGTTCACTCTTCTTTATTTTTGCAATTTCTAATCTGCCATTAATTATATACACTGCATTTTTCATCCTCACCACTGTATTTTTTTAATCTCTAGAAGTTTGATTTCAGCCTTTGTATTTTTCATGTCTCTAAGACTTAACATATCCAGTCTTTCCTCTAGCGTCTTGAATTTATGGTATGTAATTTTAATATGTTTTAATGTGCTAGTCTACTTGTCTATCATCTGTATCACTTCTGGGTCTCTTTCAATTGATTTTTCTCCTCATTGTGGGTTATATTTTCAGTTGTATGCCAGACACTGAGAATCATACATTATTAGGTACTAAATATTTCTGTATTCCTAAAAATGTTCTTGAGCTTTGTTCTGGGCTGTGGTGAAGTTAAATGAAAACAGTGATCCTTTTGGATCTTGCTTTTAAGTTTGGCTCAGCAAGACTATCAGCTTTTAGTCTTCAGTATGCTTTCCCCATTACTGGGGCAATACCCTTTTTAGTACTCTAACCAATGCCTCCTGAATTAGGTTTTTCTACTGTAGCTATTGGCAACAGGCACTTTTCTCAGTCCTATATGAGCTGCAGACATTGTTCCCTCTAGTGCTTTTGAATGGTTCTTTCCCTGGCCTCAGTTATCTTTCTCACATGCATCGGAACTCCACTGAATGTTCAGGTGGAACCTTTGCAAATCCCCAGCATTTTCTGTATAGCTCTCCTCTCCAGCATTCTGCCCTGTAAACTCTAGCTGCCTTGACTTTCCAGGACTCCCAGCTCTATCCTCAACTTAGGGAGACCTTTAGTCTCTGTCTAAGTCCCCCTCCCTACATCCCAACCTAGAAACATTCTCCAGGCAGTAAGCTAAAATCATCATAGAGCTCATCTCATTTGATTCCTGTCTCAGAGAGATCACTGTCCTTCATGTGCTAATGTCCAAATGTCTTGAGAGCCACAGTTTTATGTCCAATATTTTGTTTTAGGAAGGAGGCAAATATGGTCCCTATTAATGACTTGACCTGTTTTCTTTTTGATTTTGTAATTTCTGATTTTTTTAATTGGGCTTTTGTTAAAAGAAAAAGAAAACTGTAAAGGTGACTTTTTGTAGTTGTTTCTATTTTAAAGTTACATTCATGTGAAATTACATGTTTTAGAAAATATAAGTCTAGCTGGGTCTTTCAATTTATTAAATCAATTCTCTAACTGAAATGTGCATGTTTGAGCTTAGAAAAACATTAGCACAAATGAACAAGGTAGAGAGGACCGTCTGGACAACAGGGATAGCTGCCTAAGTCTATATAGAAAGTTCTATCTTGACCCCACATACACTCTGTTAAACACAGAATGTGTCTCCAGGGCCTAACCTTCTATTATCTCACTGGTCTACAGCATTTCAACCATAAGGTTTCTGCTAACCTTATTCCTGTGGTCACATAGTAGCTGAGCCTCCTACTGCACAAGAAAGAAATAATAAAACATAACAGAAAATAGAGATTCTCCTATTCATTGTTGTAGGTCTGTGGCATAGGAAGCTGATCTCAATTAATCTTGAAAGTGAATCTCAAAATACGCATGTTGGGCTGAGCATGGTCGGGCTTTCCTTTGATACTCTCTGCCCAAATAGAGCATCTAAAATGTGAGGCTCATTCTAATTCGGGTTGAAGAACATCTTGCTCTACTTCTGTTGCAGTTCAGATAATTTTAGAATATATATGGATTCAATCTCATTTTATAGTCATTCACTAATTTTAAAAAAATAAGTACATTGAAAGAAATTGGGGTTTGAGACAAGGCTCATAAAATTCCTTTGATTGTCTTAGTTTTTTATTTATAGGGTAGTAGCTCTATTACAATTATAGGTTCAAAGCCGTCTCTTAAATAGATGAAAATTATCCTGAATTACAGCTGTATAACAACACTACCAATTCTCTCATTTATTTAGATGAAGAACTGGGGGATGTTTCTGCATCTGTCTTACCAGAATTGAAAAGAGAAACATATGGCCAGATTCAAGTCTGTGCAAAACAGAAGCTGGCTCGCCATAGTTCTTTTAACACAGTTCAGGCTTCTGAGAGGATCCAGAGGAAGGTGAACTCAGAACCCAGCAGCCCATACAGAGAAGAACAAGGTATCTGCCTTTGCATAATGTGTGAAATCTATCAGTTGCCATGTAACTGTAGCCCATGCCAGTGCAGCATGTGCTAGCATTTTAAAACAAGCTGACCCTCTCAGCCCTGCCTGTTTTTCCCAGTGGTCTACTTTTTACTTAGCTGAAGTGAAACAGTTATTGGAGGCAAAGGAGACGCTGATATCACAGCCTATGAATATGACCCCTTTCCTGAAATTGATCCTGGTCACCTTGTAGACCAGTTGGTTGCCATAGTTGGCCTGTATCATATATCTCAGAAATTTATTAGACTTATAAAGCAATGCTTGTTTTGTTTTGTTTTGTTTTGTTTTGAGAGAAAGGTCACTCTGTCACCCAGGCTGGAGTCTAGTGGCACAACACAGCTCACTGCAGCCTTGAACTCTCAGACTCAAACAGTCCTCCTCCCTCAGCCTCCCAAGTAGCTGGGACCACAAACACACATCACCATGCCTGGCTAATTTTTTACTTTTTGTAGAGACAGGGTCTCCCTGTATTGCCCAGGCTTATTTTGAATTCTTGGTGAGACCTGAAGTCACCATGAACAGCTAACTTCTGAAAATTTTTCTTTGAATCAAAACCATAACAGATTTGAGTAATCTCTGAGCTGAGAATAATGAATTCTCAGCTATAGAATTCTCAGTATATAGTTGGTGTGTGTAAGTCTCCTGCTATATTTGTCAAGCCTTCATCTTTCTTTTCAGGATCAGGTGGCTTCTCTTTAGAAATTGGAAGCCTGGCAGCTGTCTATAGACAGAAAATAGAAGACAATTCACAGTAAGTAGTCTATAAAAGCTCAGAGTGTATTCTTTTCTATCTCCTAGTGTTAACTTTGACTAAATTGAAATGCCACCCATCAAAAGAAAAAATTTTAGGTCAGCCATTGATTTGTTAGGAATTGGTAACTGTTCCCTTTGTGCCCTACACTGTGCAGGAAGCAGTATCAGGGACACAAAAGTATGAAAAATGTATCCTGTAAGCTATGATGGCTTATAGGAAACAAGATAAAAAGACCACAGTGAAAAGAGACAATTCATAATTAACATGACCCTGAGAAATGATGCACCAGAGTTCCGTGAATCACTTTGTCATTATTGTGGTTGGTTTTGCTACCAACTACCAGGTACCATTGCAGGAGACTTAGTGTGTATTGACTCATCTGATCATAAGAGCAATTCTTTGAGGTTTTACAGAGAGGTACTACCCTCATTTTACAGAGAGAAAACTGAAGTATAAAAAGGTTATATAACTTTCCCAAAGTCACATTGCTAATAGGTGACAAAGCTGGGATTCATACCCAGGCTGTCTGACTTAAAATTTGGGCCTGATTTTGAAAGAAATCATATATCACCAGAGAAAGCAGAAGAAACGTTAGAAAAGTGTTTAACGACAGACATGGGAATAAGCAGGTCACAAGGCAGAACCAGGGAGTAGAAGAGCCAAAGCCTGGCTTGTTTTGCTGTCATGGTTTGTCCAAACAGGACAGGAAAAGGAAAAATCATTCAGCAGAAGAGGTTAGGTGTTGGAGGTAAGTAGGTCAAGCTGGCAAAAAGCTCTGAAAGCCAGAGAAGAGTTCGGATTCATCAGGGAAACCATAAAGAGCTATTGTAGGTTCTCTGATGAAGATCATCCTGGCTACTTTTCATAATTGGGATTAGGCATAGAGAAAGGCAGGTCACAGAACAGAGCATTTGCAGTCGTTCTGGTCTGCTGTGAGACAGAGCTGAGCTGTATACAGCGGAGCTGGAAAGAAAGGGAAACCAGTGTGAGACAGTGAGTTGGCAGGGCGAGCTAAAGGAGACAGAGGCATAAGAAAGTACAACTGCATGTCAGGTGTTGGTGATGTCACTGGTGGAGACGGAGAAGTTGAAGGTGGATGGCTGGTGGGGGCATGGTGAGTGATGCCTAGGGTGGGCATGTTCAGTTTCACAGAGCTGAGCAATACCCATTACTCAACCAGAGGCAGCTGATTGGAAAGGTGATCATCTCTGCAGCCCAGTATACTCCACTTTATTAGCAGCACAGTGGGGAGGGAAATGGTGGGCACAACAAGTCTTCATGATTCCATCAGAAAACAAAGAAATCCTGGTCCTCTGTTTACTGGTTTTTCTGTTTTGTTTGGCTTTTGCTTTTTGGAGACAGAGTCTCACTCTGTTGCCCAGGCTGGGGTGCAGTAGCGCTGTCTCAGCTCACTGCAAACTTCACCTTCCAGGTTCAAGAGATTCTTATGCCTCAGCCTCCAGAGTAGCTGACATTACAGGCGTGCACCACCACGCCCAGCTAATTTTCTTATTTTTAGTAGAGGTGGGGTTTCGCCATGTTGGCCAGGCTGGTCTCAAATTCCTGACCTCAGGTGATCCGCCTGCCTCAGCCTTCCAAAGTGCTGGGATTACAGGCATGAGCCACCAAGCCCTATCCCCTGTTTACTATTTCCTAAAGGATCGTTATTCTTGATTCCTAAAAATATACTAAGAACATAAACATGGTTTTAAATGTTTGGAAATTTTTCCAAATGAAAGGCCCAAACATTGTTTATATCTTATTTATTTCATTTTCTTATTTTAGGACAGGGTCACCCAGGCTGGAGTGCAGTGGCGTGATCATAGCTCACTGCAGCCTCAAACTCCTGGGCTCAAGCACTCCTCCCTCCTAGTCCCCCAAAGGAGGCATGAGCCACTGTGCTGGCCTATAAACTTACACATTTATGGGACTTAATTTTGATTGTGTGCTGCCTAAAATTTTGTTAATAATGCTGAGCAGAAGGGGACAAGAATGACAGAATATAATAATTTAGAAGATAAGTTTGTTTCCTCACTGCCCACTTATTTCATACTAGATTTGTGAAATGAGACAAATGAGATTCCTCTTTTTTAAAATCAAAGTCCAGTTTCTGTTAGTCTCCCAGAGTCTCTCACAGTGACTGAGAACATGGGCTTTGCCATCAAACAGATATGGGCATGGGGCCCAGCTTCCCACTTGAGAGCTGGCTCACCCGAGGCAGGGTGATCAACCTCTGCACTTCAGTCCTCCTCACTATTAAACTGGGGGAAATAAGAGTAGCTATTATTATAATAATTGCATAAATTGTTATAGTATTATGCTAATTATAATAGTATATACATGCATGGCAAGGGTGTAAGTGCTTGGTAATTGGTAATTGATAACTATCAGATGTGGAAGAGATAAAGGAGGAATGAATGTTCTCTCACCTGAGATTCCAATGGCTTTTCCCTCATCGGCTCTCCCACCCCATCCTAACCATTTATCCAGGCTACACCTGGACATCTGCCTCTGGGATGAGGTAACATGTGCTCAGCAAGTGCACTTTCCTATCTGCCTGAGGAATATTATCTCACTGCTGATTTGGCATGACTCTCTTTGGAAAAGTAAAGGGTCAGGAGTCGGTAGATTGTGCTAACTTTGTTGTTTCTTTTTATTACAGGGGAAAAGCCTTTGCCAGCAAGAGAGTGGTGCCTCCATCAAGTGGCTTGGACCCTGTTGCTCCTTGCCCTGTCCTCTCTGTTGACTCAGAATATTGTGTTAATCCTTTAGCCCACCCAGTATTTTCAGTTGCTCAGACAGACCTGCAGGCATTCTCCGTACAGAACGGTCTGAATGGACAAGTAGACATCTCACTCACTTCTGCAGCCTCTGCTGTGGAGAGCTTGAAGCCAGCTCTCCTTGCTGGCCAGCCTCTAGTGTATGTGCCCTCTGCCTCACTGTTCATGCTGTATGGAAGTCTGCAGGAGGGAACAGTGTCGGGGTCAGGATCAGAGAGAGATGGCAGAAGCTCAGAAGACCCAGCCACAGTAGAGCTGTCATCCGCACCCTCAGCTCAGAAGCGCCTCTCCGAGGAGAGGAAGCCTCAGGAGGAGGAGGAGCCAGCCACAAAAAGGCAAAGCAGGGAATACGAAGATGGCCCGCTGTCGCTCGTCATGCCCAAGGTAAGGCAGTGCCGGTGGATATGTTTGGTGACATCCTGTTAGCCCTGAGCTTCTTCCTAATGAAGATACACTGATATTAATCAGTGATGGAGTCTGGAATATGGGGCTATTTCATGTCACTTTCATAATTAATTAAGCACTAGAGTGGCTCTGCCAAAAATCTTCCCCTAAAATAGTGCGTAAGAAAGGACATGGATGAACCTGGAAACCATCATTCTCAGAAAACTGACAAGATCAGAAAATCAAACACCGCATGTTCTCACTCATAGGCGGGTGTTGAACAATGAGAACACATGGACACAGGGAGGGGAGCATCACACACTGGGGTCTGTTAGGGGGAAAATAGGGGAGGGACAGCGGGGGGTGGGGAGTTGGGGAGGGATAACATGTGGAGAAATGCCGGATATAGGTGATAGGGAGGAAGGCAAGAAATCGCACTGCCATGTGTGTACCTATGCAACAATCTTGCATGTTCTTCACATGTACCCCCAAACCTAAAATGCAATTAAAACAATAAAATAAAATAAAACTGAGATGGAAATAAATAAATAAATAATAAAAAAAGAAAGGTGATTTTTATAAAACTCACACTTTGTATAAAATGCTAAAAAGTATAAAGAAGAAAAAAAGGTACCCAGAATGCTACCACATAGAGGCACCACTGTTAACATTTTGTAGATTTCTTTCCAGTCTTTTTTACATCCTTTCTTTTTTAAACAAATTAGGATCACTGAAATAATCATCTTAATCCAGGATGCAGCTGAGTTCCAGAGGGAATAACGTGGGTGCTGTCTGGCTATCAGATCTATGCTTGGTCAATTCTCACTGCTCAGTGATCCTGTTTCCCTAGCTTCAAAATGAAAAGAGCAAAAATCTGAGCTGTCCACGTCTTCTGCTTAGTAGCCATTCAGAGGTTAATGAGATATGACCAGTAAAACTCTTAGAAAGCAGGAGCACTGTCATTACAGTGGTTTGCAGTGGGTCGGCTGGGCACACTTCATGGAAATCATTAGACTAATTAAGAACCTTTCTCTATTTTTTTTCTCTTGCCAGAATGAATTTTTCTCATTTCGTAGATAGCCTGGGGTTGCAGATCAAAACTGAAAGACTGGCTGGCATATGTCTTAGGTAACCAAGACATCTTGGATCAGCCCACAGTTCTTATAGGACCCCAAAAGAATAGTATCAACACCCTTTACATGTGTTACCAGCTCAGAAACATATCTCACAGTCTAACCACCATGGCTAGTTTTCCACTGCTAAAATCTCTATCATTTCTCTATTTAGAAATCACAATAGATGCACATGACATGACATTTATTTTCAGACCATTCCTACAAAAACAATGAAAACACTGACATACACAAATCAGTGTGGCACACAGCTATATCCTACCTTTATGCTTATGTGTTAGCAATATTAAGAAAGCTGTTACTAAGATTACTAATCTCAGCACTTTGGGAGGCCAAGCCAGGTGGATCACCTGAGGTCAGGAGTTCGAGACCAGCCTGCCCAACATGGTGAAACCTCGTCTCTACTAAAAACACAAAAATTAGCCAGGCATGGTGGCACACTCCTATCATCCCAGCTACTCAGGAGGCTGAGGCAAGAGAATTGCTTGAACCCGGAAGGCAGAGGTTGCAGTGAGCCGAGATCATGCCACTGCACTCCAGCTTGGGCAACAGAGTGAGACTCCATCTCAAAAAAAAAAAACAGGATTTACTACTGGAATTTTGACTTGCTTTCCTGCTTCCTGGTTTGGTTGTATTTAGAAACCCTCAGATTCCATGGACCTTGCCTCTCCCAAGACTATGGGTAACAGAGCGTCTGTACCCCTCAAAGACATTCATGTGAATGGCCAACTCCCTGCTACAGAAGAGATTTTAGGAAAGGCAACAGCAAACGGTTGTGTTTCTTCTGAGTGGGGAAATCCTTCAAGAAATACAGATGTTGAAAAGCCTTCAAAAGAAAATGAAAGCACCAAAGAGCCTTCTTTGCTACAGTATCTTTGTGTGCAGTCTCCCACAGGTAAGGGATGTCATCATGTCTTAAGAGAGCCCCTTGTGGCAGTCAGATCCTCAAGTGGATTTTTAAATTTTTTGTCTGTATCACCTGACCAAAGTGGCTTATTGATGTACCTGAGTCATTTTACTCAGCCCCTTTGTTCTCTCCATCTGCAAATGAAGGGAGAAGCTGCTTCTACTTTCACCAACTTCAGGAGTAATGAGAAAATCATTAAGGCAGGTGATTTTTAAAAAAAATACATTAAACTTTATTTGGTGAAAAAAGCACGGTAATTCAGCTGAATCTAGCATTGCTTTCATATAATAGTATGAACGTGTTGGCCATTGCATGCAGCTAGTGTTTTGAGGTCTTGAACATCTAGAGATACTGGATATATCGCATCGTGGTCAAGTGCCAGGTCTGGAGTAAGAGGGCTTGACATTTAAAACCACTTAGTATCTGCGTGAACTTAAGTGTTCTTCCTCCTCATTGGTTAAACAGCAGTAATAATAGCACCTGCTTCATATGGGTGCTGTGAAAATTGAATTAAATTTAATAAGATAACATATCTAAAGCATTTAGAATAATAGCACCTGGCACTTAGTGAGACTCAATAAATGCTGTTACTATTTTGAATTAAAGCCAAAATACAGTAGATACCAGACTTTTAAAGTATGTACTTTGTACATAAAGCTGCTCTTGATGCAAAGATAACTAAATTGATTTTCCTCAATTCCTCGTTAGTTTAAGCCTAACCTGCTAGATCAGGTTAGGTAAGTATTTATGATCATTCACTTATTTAGAAAAAAATATTTATTCCTTTAGTAAATACCTTTTAGTGCTTTCCCTAAGCACTGAGTATTGGGAATACCTGGATGAACAAAAATAGATTCAGCCCCTGCTGAATGAAAATTACAGCCCAGCACAGGGGTTGTTAACTTTTTCTGTGCCATGGACCTTTTGGCAGGCTGGTGACAGCCATGGATACCTCCTCATAATGTTTACAGATGCATAGAATTAAATATATGGGTTTACAAATAAAGCCAATTATATTGAATGCAACTAGGAAAACCATTTTTAAAATTACTGATAGTAATAAAAAGACCTGGCAACCAGCCTAGTACTGTCAAAATTTCCACGTCGTGCTGACCTTAACAGTATATTAAGAAATCTGTAATAGCTTGAATATGTATTTATCTGTACTATTTCCTAATGCCAAAGTCAAGGTACTGTTAAAATTGTTAATTTGTTGCCTGCGATAATTGAGGAATTTATAAAAATAAAGATTTACTGGCCAGGCACAGTGGCTCATGCCTATAATCTCAGCACTTAGGGAGGATGAGATGGGAAGATAACTTGAGCCCATGAGTTTGAGACCAGACAGGCAACATATGGAGACCCTGTCTACCAAAAAAAAAAAAAAAAAATAGCTGGGTATGGTGGCGTACTTGTGATCCTAGCTACTCTGCAGGTGGAAATGGACTACTTGAGCCCAGGAGGTTGATGCTACAGTGAGCCATGATCACACCACTGCACTCCAGCCAGGGTAACAGAGCAAGACTCTGTCTCAAAACCAAACAAAAAATAAGTAAATAAATAAAAATAAAGATGTAATCTTTCTTATCCAAGCTTTTTGCCTTCTCAGTTTCAGTTCAGTGGAACTCAGGTTAAAAAATTCACAAGCATCAACCAAATGATCACACAGGTAAATGTGGGATTACAGTCTTGGCCACAGCTGTGTAGAGCAGGGTGTGGGCTGTTTTGCCTAGTCAGCTGAGGGAAGGTCTCATCATTCATTGATTTTTTTGTGGACTTCCTTTTGAAAGGACCATGACAAATGTGAGCTTGAACGGTATCCTCATGATGACATACATTGATTTTCACCTGTTCTGCTTCTCTTTCAGGATTAAATGGTTTCAATGTACTTTTATCTGGCAGCCAAACCCCCCCTACTGTGGGCCCATCCTCAGGTCAGCTGCCGTCTCTCAGTGTCCCTTGCATGGTCTTACCCTCTCCGTCTCTGGGCCCTTTTCCTGTTCTCTATTCTCCTGCAATACCGGGCCCGGTTTCTTCTTCTCCTGGTGCTCTCCCAAACACAGGACCTGTGAATTTCAGCTTGCCTGGCCTTGGATCAGTAGCCCATCTTCTCGTCGGCCCCACAGCTGTGGTTAATCCAAAGTCATCCACACTCCCTTCTGCAGACCCTCAGCTTCAGGGTCAGCCCTCACTAAACCTGAGTCCAGTGATGTCACGGTCACACAATGTCGTCCAACCTGAGTCCCCCATTTACGTGGGACATCCAGTCTCAGTAGTAAAATTACAACAGGTGAGGCCTGAAATTTCCTGAAGACACCATCACTCTGGGAAGGGGTATGCCTGTGATTAACCAGCTTTCGTTTTAGCCACATGACTCCCAGACAAAGGCACTAGGTCAGGCTCCACCCGACTTCCATTGTAGACTCAGAGTTATTTACTCCTTTTATAAAGCACTGAGACATGAGGAAAGAGATCCTATGCTTTAAAGGTGAAAATGTATGTTTTTAGTTGTCATTCTGTTTCTTAAAATTAGAGGGGACCTGTTTCAGGCATAGTTTGGGGGAATTTTTGAGGAATGCTGAGTATTTTTACTATTTTGATGATCTTCAAGCTTTTATTTTCACTAGGTCAATAAAAGAAGCCACCCTAAATTATACAGCTATAAAAACTATCAAAGGAAACAGAAGTCTTGATAGTAACTCACTCTTAGCCCATCAGTCATTTCTTGTTTGTGTGTGTATATATATATATATGCATACAGACATTATAAACACATGTATTATATGTACAGACAGATATATATATGCATACAGACATAAACACATGTATTATATGTATGGACATGTATTACAGAATACATATATGATACATGTCTAATACATAATATACAGTACATGTCTGTACATATAATACATGTGTTTATGTCTATGTATATGCATATATAATACATGTGTCAATACAGATATGTCTACATCTACATTATATAATGCACATGTATTATGTACAGATATGTATGTACTGCACAATACATATGTGTATGTATAATATATGTGTACATTATATACATGTGTGTATGTACATGTTATATGTATATACATCTATAATACATAGATGTATGTACATATAATGCATGTGTATTGTATGTGTATGCATTTATTGATGCGTATAATACACATATGTATTGTTTTTATGGCTGTATAATTAAATTTTAGGGTGGCTTGTTTTATTGACCTAGTGAAAATAAAAGCTTGAATGTATTGTATGTATATCATGTATATATACATATAATACATGTTTTATATGCCTATATTTACAATACATGTATGTATTCGCATGTGTGTCCTATATCCCCAGTGCATATAATTCATATATGAATTATATATGTATATACATCTAATACATATATGAATTATATATGTATATACATCCGTACCTACTCAGAAAACATAAACATTTACATAAAGATATTATCAATATAAGTTAGTGAGTCTATGGTTGTCCCCCAACTTCCATTTGCAGTTCAGTCAATAAATATTTGAATTCCTATTATATATTAGGTTGTTCACAATGATTACTTACTCTCCCAGATAAAGAGTTATGTTTGGCCAAAAATATTTTAGACAAGTTGTTCAAAGGCTCAAAAGTTTGCTAGACATTGAAATGAACATGTTAGGTTTCAAACAAGATGATTATAGCATAACATAGAATTTTCTATTACCATGTCCCAGGCAGTGAAGATAAAGCAGTGAACAGGATAATGGTCTCTGCCATTTTAGGGCACATTAAAGGAATAAATATTTAACATTTAACATTAGGGGATAAGTATTAGCAAGTAAAGAGAAAGAGCCAAGACAAACCATGTTGGCCTCGCATGCTCTAAAGTGCTTTACAATTATTATCTTATTTAATTCTTACAACCTTATGAAGTCAGTACTTTTACCATCCCCACTGGATGGAGGAGGAAACCGAGGGACAGACTGCTTAAGTAACTTGCCCACGGTTGGAGAGCCCAGTCCCTGGCTCCAGATGCCACACTTGTACCCTCTTTGGTAGACTGCCGTTCTGCACCCAAAACAATAAATATGAATTTAATTTTCAGTTGTGGTAAGTAGAGGAGACAAACGGGATAAGTGTGATAGGAAAACAAAGAAGAAGGAACATCTGCCTCGGGATCCTAACACACAGGTCAATAAAGGGCTGCCTTTCTACTCCTCAGAGATCGGAAGCAATATGGCTTCACTTCTGTTTTCACTTTTTTCTTTTTTTAGTCACCAGTTCCAGTGACCCCCAAGAGCATCCAACACACACATCGTGAGACATTTTTCAAGACACCTGGCAGCCTTGGAGACCCTATCCTGAAGAGAAGAGAAAGGAACCAGTCACGAAACACCAGCTCAGCCCAGAGAAGACTAGAAATCCCCAGCGGCGGGGCCGACTAACCTGCCACTTTGCCAGGTGCGGTGGGATCAAACGCCCTGAGAGTCCTTGATGTCCGAGGTGGAGTGCAAACCATCCTGTCATGAGCACATGTCCTTCTTCTCACTTTCATCCACACTTCTGTTAACTTCCCATCATCATGAATCATCCATTTTCCTGAAAGTAATTAATTGTGCATTTAATACCAGTTAGAGTTCAGACTCTGCATGGTGTCATAGTGGAAGCACCGATTGACTTATGGTTTTGATTCAAGAATCATCTTATTGCTGGAAGGAGATCTGAATAGGCTACTGGAGCCTTGCGGTTTTTCTAAAGGGGGCTGCTGTCTAGCACTTAACTAGGGTAAGCATTCTTAACATGTATTTCCACTTGCCCTGAGTAAATCGGTGGTGAGAGAAGCTTCCTTTCTGCAGTTTAAAAGCTACTGCTTCCTTAGGCTTCATCAGAAAGCCACCTTCAGTTGTGAATCCTATGGTATTAATTTATTTTGTTCCTGAAATGGGATTTAGTGCAAAAAGTTTACAACTACAGTCTAACACATTTTTTTCAGGGTATGACGACTTGAATGTTTATACTTTTATTCTATAATTTGCCCTGCACTTATTCTACAACCTAGCAATCATGTGGATAAATGTATCTACGTGACACATGTCAAGACCAAAATAACTGTGAATGACACAACTTGCTGTAAATGAACTGTGCTAACCCTGTCTGTGAGCATGAGAACAAAGATGAACTCTAGAACTCTAGCAGCCTAACTGCTGCTTCTCAAATAACTGTCTGAACAGTGAGATATTACTGTTGGTTTCTGAAAATCCTGCTGTGCTCAGTTTCCTTCACTACATGCCCTGCATTTTTTATTCAAATGTTTAACTGTAGAGCTATCAGATATGGATGCTTTCTAACAATTGCTGTTTGTAAAATAAATCAGGATGGTAGAAAGTGATTATGTGGAAAATTGGAACCTGGATGAGACCTTTTCATTGAATTCTGAAGAATAATGATGTGAAAATTGATATAGGGCAATAGATGATTCTTTTGTTTTTCCTCTACTTCATGTCTGGAAGAGTAACAGGGAAAACGGATATATTATGTTTCATATCCAAGGTCATTCAAACCGTAGTTACATGGTACCTCTGAAAAATAAGAATGGTGCTAGCCATGTGCAGAAAGCACAAACAGGACCCCTTCCTGACACCTTACACCAAAATTAACTCCAGATGGATTAAAGACTTAAACATCAGACCTAACACCATAAAAACCCTATAAGAAAATCTAGGCAAAACCATTCAGGACATAGGTGTAGGCAAGGACTTCATGACCAAAGCGCCAAAAGCAATGACAAATAAAGCCAAAATAGACAAATGGGACCTAATCAAACTCCACAGCTTCTGCACGGCAAAAGAAACAGTCAGTAGAGTGAATCAGCAACCAACAGAATGGAACAAATTTTTGCAGTCTACCCATCTGACAAGGGGCTGATATCCAGAATACAAAGAACTAAAACAGATCTACAAGAAAAAAACAAGCCCATTCAAAAGTGGGCGAAGGATATGAACAGACACTTTACAAAAGAAGACATACAGGAGGCAACAAACATGAAAAAATGCTCATCATCCCTGGTCATTAGAGAAATGCAAATCAAAACCACATTGAGATACCATCTCACACCAGTCAGAATGGCGATCATTAAAAAATCTTGAGACAACAGATGCTAGAGAGGATGTGGAGAAATAGGAACACTTTTACACCGTTGGTGGGAGTGTAAATTAATTCAACCATTGTGGAAGACAGTGTGGTGATTCCTCAATGACCTAAAAATAGAAATCCCATTTGACCCAGCAATCCCATTACTGGGTATATATCCAAAGGATTATAAATCATTCTACTATAAGGACACATGCACACAAATGTTCATTGCAGCACTGTTTACAATAGCAAAGACCTGGAACCAACCCAAATGCCCATCAACGATAGACTGGATAGGGAAAATGTGATACATATATACCATGGAATATTACGCAGTCATCAAAAACGATGAGTTCGTGTCCTTTTTAGGGACATGGATGAACCTGGAAACCATCATTCTCAGCAAACTGACACAAGCAGAAAATCAAACACCGCATGTTCTCACTCATAGGCGGGTGTTGAACAATGAGAACACATGGACACAGGGAGGGGAGCACTACACACTGGGGTCCGTTGGGGGGAAATCGGGGAGGGATGGTGGGGTGGGGAGGTGGGAAGAGATAGCATGGGGAGAAATGACAGATACAGGTGAGGGGAAGGAAGGCAGCAAACCACACTGCCATGTGTGTACCTATGCAACAATCTTGCATGTTCTTCACATGTACCCCAAAACCTAAAATGCAATTTAAAAAAAGAATGGTGAGTGCAGCGGTTGGTTGTTCTAGCATGAATACAATTCTGGAAACTTATGCAATTTCCCTTTTTTAAACCACATTACTTTAGGGGTGCATTAAGTAGCCAAACTGTTCTAGTTCTTTGTATTCCTAGACTTGCTGACATGTACCTCTGTCTTGTCTCTTCACAGTAAATGGCTCCCTTCTTTCCTTCCTACTTTCCTTCATTCCCTCTTCCTACCTTTTTTTTTTTTTTTTACTTCTTTTCTTCCTTCTTCCTCTCTTAAAACTTCTCTTAGATGTAGAATCCTGGTGTAAGGTTTATATTTTATTTTTCTTCTTTGACCCAATAAAATGTTCTATGAAAGAATAAAAATATTAATTTAAGAGACTCTGGGAGTCTGAGTAAAGTAGCTTTATATTAACTACAGGATAATATTAGCCTTATTACCCCTACAAGATTTTTTAAAACTTAAGGTAGGTAGCTACATTAAATAAATTTGCTACTTATATGAAATTTTTATCAACACTAAACTTTTAAAGTTTACAAGATTTTTTTTTTCCTTTTTACAGTCTTCTTTAGAGTTAGATTAAAAATGTGGTTTTAACCATCAACAATTGCATGGTAATGATGACCCTGAACTAAAACTGATGGGTTTTCTATTAAAACAAATAAAAATATGCCTTTTTCAGGTTTAAATCTATTCAGGGTATATGCATTTTAACTCTGCCATGTTTAAGAACTTCCACAAAATATTTCACAGAGAGGTCTGCATTTAGATGGAAACACAATTTGCTTTTCCCCCTCACTGTTCCTGGATGCTCTCTACTTGTTTTAACATTTTTGCTATATTTTATTATTCTGATCACGATATGACCATATTAACCTCAGAATACATAATTCTTGAGAGGCGTTAAGAAGCAGTCCCACTGGTGAGGACATTATGACTTGGTGATCATACTTAGGAATAGGAAACCAAGGACAATTGCTTCTGTGTCCAGTATCTACTTAATGTGACTTTATTATGTAAAATAAGAATGCAGTGGTTGTTCCTGTCAAGTAAATGAATCTTACAGAACAACCAGTGGAAATGAAGCTGCTGTGCTAGACTTGGATATTTGGGGTAGTGAAGAAGCAATGGCAATCTTGAGTCTATTATTGTATAATTTAGTAAAAGAAACAAATAATCGTTGGTGATCCTACTAAGAGAATGCAGCTTTTTTGAGTCGTCACAGAGGCTGTGTGTGCCCTACACTGTCCAGGGTTTGTAAAACCCTTTCATTCTGGTACAAGAGTCGGGGGTGTAAGTTTTATACTTGAATTTACCTACCAAGTTTACATTTCTCAATTCCTTTTTGTAAGGTGCTATTTCTGTATTTAAATAACTTTCTTTTAACATAAAGCTGCTTTCTGCTTATCTTATTGCACTGCTAGCTGTATGTAGGTATTAATTTTATTGCTGCTTACTGCTTTTGTTTTATTATCTAGCTCTGCTCTTTTTCCTAATGGCTATATTATCTATAGCTATTTACTTGTAACTGTACTACATATAAACTGATTTTTGTTCTGATTTTTTTCTAATATTTTTAGGAAAATATTAAGCTTTGTAAAGTAGCAATAAAAAATTTAAGAAGAGATGGTGGTTGTATTTCTTGGTAGGCTTTTTTTGCATACTGTTTTGAGTAAAACGATTAATAGTTAAAACACAGCTAACCAGGCCCACATAAACACAAGTCAGATCTTTTTGCTGAGACCACCCTGTGGTTGCTAAATGCTGAAACTTACTGCATCGAAATTACATGGGAGCTTGCGGGGGTTGAGGTACTGTGCAGTTGAGCTTCTGATTTCTACCAAGTCCCAATCCCTGCAGGTTTGGAGCTTCCAGATGATTCTAACGTTTATCCAGTCTAGGAATCACAGGTGAATGCAGACCACCCCTCAACGTCTTGTAGCATCCATTACGTTAAATGCTTCTCTGTAGCAAATGCCCACCTTTCATTGAAAGCCAGTTTCTATTGTTATCCTTCGCTTTTAAATTGACCTGCAAGCAGACTTAATCTGATGTCCCCTAGCTCTTTATATCTCCAGAGTGATCTATGTTGCACTGTTGTCAGACTCTCTTGCTAAATTCTGAGGTAACACTGGCAGATGCTTGAACTGATAAAATGGACAATGTTTCAAAGGCCTCATGTTGGAAGCATTTGCCTGAACTTCCTGTGATGCCAGCAATACATATTCTAGCCGCAGCTCTCCCTCTGCTACTGGTTCTCCTGTTGTCCATTCCACGCAGACCCTTGAGCAGGATTTTGAATGGTCCTGGTCTGGCCCTGATATGGTTAACTGAATCATGGAGGTGTTTTCCCCATACTGTACTCGTAAAGAATTAGTCTCACAAGATCTGATGGTTTTATAAGAAGAAACCCCTTTCACTTGACTCTGATTCCCTCTCTGGCTGCTGCCATGTAAGATGTGCCTTTCGCCTTCCGCCATGATTGTGAGGCCTCCCCAGGCACGTGTAACTGTGAGTCCATTAAATCTCTTTTTTCTTTGTAAATTACCCAGTCTCAGGTTTGTCTTTAACAACAGCATGAGAATGGACTAATAACAAGCCCTATCTCCCATCAGCCACATCCAGTGCTCTACCTTAATTCTAGGAGGGAAAATCCAACCAAACACACAGTGCTCCCTCCACTGCCAAAGCTGCTGGCCCACTCATCTCCCTTAGGTCCCCCAGGTAAGTCAGACACCAGAGCATACCCCTCACTGCAGGAAATAGGTGAGAGGGAAGCATCACGCTGAACACCCCTGCTTGTTGTCTTGTAAGTGGCAGAAGTAAAGAATTACAGCATAACTTCAAAGAGATCCTCACTAAATCCATTTCTTTTTCCATTCCTTCAACTCTTCCACAGACTTGTAGGTGAACACATTCAATATTTGGTTCACTAGTTTTGTAAATTTTCCTCCGTC